CCCGGACTTTGGTATGAAACCCGGACCCGGACCGGACGCCGGACCCGGACTGGATGCCGGACCCGGACTGAAAGATTTTGAACTCTTTAATGATCTTTAATGAAATTAACATTTATTGACGGTCAGGTAAAACAATATAAATAAAGAAGAATAAACTCAATGTGTACCAGAAATGAAATGAATAATATACAATAAATAGATAATTAAGTTTAATCAAAGTTTATTATTTAGAAATGTTTATTTAAATTTCTCCAAGAGTTTAATATTTGTTTTTTAAGTTTTTGTATCAATCAGTGATTTTAAGTGTTTTATATGACTTAACTGATTAAAGGCACTTTCATTTTGATTATGTAATGGGTGTTGTTTCTGTACGATGTTTATGCAAGGAGATATGAGCTGTTTCTTTAGCTTGGATGCACACGATAGAGTTAATAGAAAATTAACAAGTAAATTAAAGTAAATAAGAGAGATGTTCGTTCCTTTGTCGGTATTATTTTAAGGTAATTAATCAAATTTTATTATTAATTGTTTAATTAATAAAATTACTAAAAGAAAAATGTGTTTTTAAAGAAATTCATAGAAAGTCATAATAATTACACAATACACAACTTTAAGTTTAACTTAAGAATGTTCATTCCTCTGTTTGACATGTTTTAAAAAAAACTGTTAAGGATAAAACTAAAGAAGTCGTCAGTTACTTTTGGGAATAGAGAATTTTCGTCCAAATTTTGTTGTTGGCTTTTACGAAAGGAAATGATTTTATCTTTGTTTTAGCTCTTCATTGTGCTACTTGTTGCTTGTAAGTAATTTTTACCGAAGCCGTGTATTTACTGTCTGTTTGCCGATATATATTTTATAATACAAAAGCCTTTTTACAAGCTAACGTTTCGTATTGTTGCCTGTTCGTTTTAAAATATACAGTGCTATATATATATACAAATTATTACATTAGAAGATATAATACAAGCCCAAACGAAAAAATATAAAGTTTAAAGTGAAAACAACGTTCAAACCTATGATTGCGTTGGATAAAAACCGCAATTTTTATATGTGAACATGCAAAACAAATTTCTTATTAGAGAGGTCTAAATACAGCACAGACAACATTTTCCAAAAGACCAAAAAAGTGAAAAAGTTTATTTTAACAAAACGCATTTGCCTAACAGGTCGAACAACTGATGTTCTTAAACCCTGCTGACTTCCATTGGCGATTGCCAAATAAACGGACACAAGATGTAACAAAATGGATCTTAATATGAATTTAATACCAAACAGAAAACATAAACTTGCGGACAACATGGTATACCGCAAACAAAAGGTGCAAAAAATAGTACACCATATATCCGGATTTCGACAATTAATGTCTTCATGTGTGCATGCAAAACAAATTTCTTGGTAGAGGGGTATGAATTCATTATTGGTTCCGTTATTGGCCGCCTGACACCGAGAGGCATGACAACCAGCCAGTACAAAAATAAAAGAAAGAAGGTGAACAAGCTATTAAAGCCACAGGAAAGTGTTCCGGTCATCAATAAACCATAACTTCTCATGAACATTTTATCAGAAACAGGTGTTGTCAAATACTTATGACAAAATAATGATGATGTTTGAATTAAGATGATTCAAAGGTTATAACCATTTAACATTAATAAGATGTGGTATGAATGCCAATGAGACGACCATCTACTATGTATATGCAATGCTTTGTTTTTCCAAATATTTGTTTTTCTTTCTTGATTCTAAAATGTAAATATAATAACCACGATACAATAATATGGGCTTTATCTTCTAAAATATCTTAAGCTAACAATTATCATAGATTTGCTCCTTTAAAAGTTTTAAATCTCCCCGTTTAGATTCTGAAAGGTGCCACTCTAAATCCGAAATTTGGCAAAAGAACGTCTTTGTGTGAATAGTACTGCAATTATACATATGTTTCAGTTTCTTAAATGAGTTCTAAGTAAAGCGTTATTACCATAATTCCAGTTCAAGGTCAGAAAAAATTTACAATTCTAGTACGAAAGAGCCATGGTGCATTCAGAGGTAAATAGTAGATAGTAATAATCAGAAATAGAAATGACGGGATCGATTCATGTTTAAAATGGACACAGATACACATCCTATATAGTATTATACGATTAATTATTCGCTATTAAATGAGAAATATTAATCGTAATTTCCATTTTTAGGCTAAAATGGATTTGAAAGTGTTAATGTCTTACAGTTACATTATAGACAGGAAATGGTTTATTGTTTTCAGCAGTCTAAAATAATCCCTTTTATTATCATTGTTTCCTGTTGTGAAAACTTTAATTGGGGCTGTTGTTACATCACTGTGAAATACATGATTTTTTCAAATTTATTTTAGTCAGTCTTTAAAATTATAAGAAGCCACAATCTTTCACCGGGATTTTTTTACCCCAAGATGGTACAATGAATAAAATCTTGTGCGAATCCTGATTGGATGAATATAGTGTTGGAATCATTCTAAAATTTTCCCTTATTTATTTATCATATATTTATGTCGTCGGAAAAATCAATTAAAGATTAACGATGTAATACACAATCTTGAACAGGTGTACTATGCTAGGGATACCTGTGTGTATTGCATTACGATAGCTATTAAACTGTATATAAACTGTTTATTGTCGTAAAGCTTGTTGACGGAAAACTTGATCAAAGGAAAAGTTTGGACTAAAATCTCCATTTATAAAAGATATTTATCCGAGATTCAACGAAATAATTTAATGTTGGTCATAATAGACGAGTCCCTATGGAAAATTACCTTGGTTCGCCCGTTTGAAACGTAGTTTCTAATTATAAGACTGAGACAATAATTCATTCGCTGCTTATTCCCGGGCTATCTCAGTGTTTTTATATAGCAAAAACAAAATATAAAATATACATGAATGTACCAGAAAGATTTTAAAAAATGAAAATATCAGCATAAAAACGTTAAAAATTGAATAAGAATGTGAAGTGATATAACGTGACGGTACTCAAATTGCACCTATTTTGACAGTTTTTTTCACCTAAGTTTTTTTATGATAAAGACAAAAATTTCCATTCTGTGTTTATTTTGTAGCCGTATCCTTCTTTATTATATAGGTACACCAATTTGATTTTTAATCCCTATTTATTCATAGAAGGGACTTATCATTTTTTATCTGGGAGGGGGGGGGGGGGGGGGGGGGGGCTGGTCAAAATGCAGGGGGGGTCAAGTTTTTTTCTGTATGTGGAAATGGGGGGTTCAAATTTTTTATAAATTCAAAGGGGGGGATCAATATTTTTTGCACATGGAAATTAGTAGTTCATATACTTCAAGAGACAAGATATCAAGAAGAACATTATAAAACAGTCAAATCGAAAATATATCTTTAACACCATTCATATACAATTAAGTAAGACATCACAAGACTTTGGTGATGTAGGAAGCTGCCATTTTGTGTCATTTTGTCCCATATAAAATGCATAGGTGCTTCAGAATCCGAATTATTCAGTCGTTATATTTCACTCACTTTGATCACTAAATTGACAAGCATTACTGCCAAGTTTTGTTATAATCAGCTTAATAGTTTGAGAGAAATTAAGTATAAATTAAAACGAAATCTGCATGCAGCGATTTGTGCAAAACTTTTTCCAAAAATACAAATCACGCCACATCATGAAAGAATATAGTGTAGAGCAATATCTTCTCCAATAAATGATTAAATATTGCATACAAACAGTTGAATATTGATACAAAAGATGATTCTGAGATGATGAACAACCCTTAAGTATCTTTTTGTTTTCATTACAAGATCCCTTTGACTCCATTTATACCTCACACTCTCTCAAAATTTGTACTTTTGAGGCTAATAAATCTAAATTTTGAGGTTACTATCACACATTTATGAATGAAATGTGACAATAAATGAGTAATTGAATTGTTCAAGCTGAAATGAACTATCCATATAAAAGTTTAGCGACTCAATGGAGGTTTTAATAAGGCCTTAAGTTTAAGCAGCGTTCAAGAGAGGGACATATAATAGACCCCTCTTAGTAAATAATGTGTTGTTACTGTTTCAAAAAGTTAACTTTTTAATGTAAATTTTTACAGAGTTACTCAGTAGGATCAAGTTTTCTTTGATAGCCTAATATAGGAAATTAGAAAAAAAGTCAGAATAAGCTACTAAAAGCACTGGCTTGCTCAACTTCTAATATTCATGGAAGAGCCCTATTTCAAGGCAATTTTCCCTCAAATATGTTTTAGGACTCAATCCACTGATTTTCAATATGTTCGTGAAATAAAATGATAAGTGTTTTGCATGTTAAAATTTTGGCATATTTAATAGAGGGGGGATCACATTTTTTAAATGTTTTCACAGGGGGGATCAAATAAAAATAGTGAAATATTATGGGGGGATCAAGAAATTTTGTATTTTTGATTCTAAAATGACCAGCCCCCCTCCCAGGTAAAAAATGATAAGTCCCTAAATTCACATCATTAAAAATCAAATAACAGATGTTTTGTTTTATTTTTTCAAATATTTAGAACAATTTGGCATAAGTACATGCTCACTATTTTTTTTTTTTTAAAAGGGATGCTTGTAACATATTTTTTTGTTCATTTTTAAAAGATGACTTTTTGTGAACGTCGCATGGTGGCGTTTTCGTACATTTTTTTTTTCAGCAGTGAAAGCTTCATCTGTTGATATAAACTGTGAACGTTTAGTGTATATTTGAATATATTCACCTATTTTGTAAGACGTGTATAATGTCAAATAACTAAAATATAAATTGTTTAGTCTCAAAGAAAACTTTTAAGAATTTCTCAGCTGTTTATGTTGAATAGGTGCAATTTGGGTACCGTAACGTTATATACTACTGGAAAATCCAGAAAAGCGCTTTGGACGTAACAAAATATATATAATTTTTTATTTTTATTTTTACAAGGCACAATTGGTTGCGAACAAGAAAATAACATTGTAATATCATAGGTATTTTCACTATTTTATAAAAAAAAAAATTTAAATAGCGTCTCGTTTTCCAAGGAAATCTAGAAAATCAGCTGACCTATTTTTCACTGGCAGTTGAGAGTAAGGAAAATAATCACCGTGTGGATTTGGATACAGTTTGACAAGGTCCAGTGATGTTGTACGCGTGTGCAAGGTTTCGTCATCTGGTAAGCTTTAAAAGCAGATTTAAGCAAAATTCTAAGCTTTCTTATTTAAAATAACATTTTCTATCTAATAAAATAAACACCCAGTCACTACTCAAATGATAAAATCTTAATTATATATTTAAGCATATATATTTACAATATTAAAATCAAACATTTTCCAGTAAATTTCCATTGATTGCGATGCAATCTTATAAAAAAAAATATGGCACTAGCAGACAAAACTTTTGGAACATTCTATAACCCTTTGAATAAAGTAGATGTTGTGTAGTGAATATTTAAGTAGTTAACGTCATGTGAAATACAATGTACATGGGTATTGTATCAAACTTGGTTATGTACAAATACAAATACAAATATTTTATTGGCACAAACTCATTAACAATAAATGGTTAAGACCTATTGCATACATATGTGGGTCTGCACATTTGTTTCTCTTTAAAAAATACAATAAAACAACCACGGACATTCATGAAAGAGGGACTATAAAGTAACAGTAGTAAATGGGGTTTATGTGGATAGACGAGAAATAAAATGACCTTTTCACTAAGAAAGAAAAACCAAAAAAAGTTTTTGCACATAGCTGTTTACCAATTTACATGAAACACTGAATAATTAGCTATAGGAAATTTTTTTTCTGAGACAAGTGAACCCCCCCCCCCCCCCCCCCCCCCCCCCACAAGTGCCTGTGGCTTCAAGCATGAAAAAGACAGACAAAATAAAGATGTCGGTTAAAAGCTCAATAGAGAATTGTTTATATGTCCTTGTTTTTGTATACCATGCTGACCCAAAATAATGCTTATTTATTGTAAACATGTTGCCCAAAAATAAATCTTTACCACCCGCATAAAAAAGTAATTATTTTTGTTTCTAGGACTTCAACCATCTCCCAATCATGTATGCTGATTTACATAATAGCAAATAAAATAAAGAAATCATAAAAGTTATTTGAGAATTTAATAAAAGAAAAAAAAAGACAAATTGATCCATTTATTTATTTATACACCAGTCCATAGATTTACCACAAATCACTGTAAAATACCCCAAATATGCCTGTTCATAGTTTAGGGTTTCAGACCTGCCATTTATCCCGATTTATGGGGGATATCCCCCATGAGAGGTGTTCACCTAAATTTTTGAAATTCTTTATTATATAACCTGAACACCTCAAAACAGGCTTTCCAATGAGTGAAAAAGGTATCTAAGCATATACATACTCATTCAAACAATGTAGTAGTAGATTAAAAACACTTATGACAATATGAGAGGAGTATTAGGTCCTCTTGCCCTTAAAATCCCCCATGGAGATTTTGAAAAGTTGGCAGGTATGGGGTTTTGTTTTTTTATTAATTAAAGTAGCTAAGGTCAGGATTTTTATATACACATTAGCTCACCTGGCCATCACTTGGCGCCTGGCGTTAACTTTAAAAAAATGTTCTTCTGCAACTACTGGGCCAAATTTTACAAAACTTTACCTGAATGTTACTTACGCCAGTTACGGAATCGAATAAATACAAATTTATCTACAAACCTGAACCCTGTTGCTAAAAATAGATCAGGGGTAAATTGCAGTTTATACCTTAGAGCTATAATTTAAAACAATGCTGTGAAAGCAAAACGGACGAGGGTAAAAATTATCTGTAGGTCAATTTCTATCTACCATGAAATTTTCAGAAAATCAGACAACAGACATGTGATTCTTCCGGCGGGAGTCAAAAACTCCCGCCGTCCCTCCCGGTTAATACTTCAAATTTTCCGTTTTTTTTTTTTTTTTTTCAAAATTTCAACCCCAAAAAAATTTGTCTGTCTCTTATTTTTTATTACCATTGATGTCAACATTAATTACGTTTTTTTGTCTCTGATGAAGGTAATTTTTACCTGTAAATCAAAGAACTTGTACAATTATATGGCTTCACTTAACAGCTTGGGTGTCAAACATACTATTAATGAACGATTTTTACCTCAGGCTAACTGGCATTATGTAATAAAAGCTTTGTGTATTTGAAAACAGTTAAAAGAAATTTCTGGTTACTTCCCTTGTTTTATCATGTTTTAAGTTAGTAGTTACCCTCCTTAAAATAATGTAAATTGATAAAAGAATATGAATGAAATACAAATTGAACAAAGAATCATTTAAGGATGGTAATTTAATAATTTTAAATGTCTTAGGACATATAAAACACTATTATTTTGAAAATTATTTGAGAGATCTAAACTTCTTTTCAATGCTTAAATTGAAATTTATAAGAAATGTATTGATCTCTATCAGTGAATGTCATTTTTTTTTTTTCATTTTTTTTTTTTTTTTCATCATTCTCGTCTCAGTCATTACAACTGAACGGACGTGCTGGGTCAGCTCTCCTTTACCCGCTATCTTCGATGAGGGTTTACAGTTAGATGGATCAACGACTTACTACTTTCGATGACAGAAACCAATCCAACGCTGTACAGACTACGTTAGGCTATAATCCGCGTAGGGCAAATTCCCGCGTCAACATACACTCCAAAACCCATTATGGATGGGGGAGTGGTATGCCGAGTGACGTACGAGGGCTGTATTCTAGGTGTTAGATGATGGACCACCATTTCACTGTCTCACGACTTTGGTCCTGATAATGCTTCCTGTCATCGTTAATACTACGTCCGAGACTCATCTACCAGTACTCCATCATCGAGGTTAGCGGGCTGCCAAGCTGACCAATCTGGCCCTGAAAGCAGCCGTTGTGAAGACATAACATCAAAATAGTCAACAAAAGAAAAACCAAAACAACTCACAAAACCAAGATGGCTGCCTACCAAAATGGTTCCTCCACCTGTTCCTGACCGATGGCACAAAATTATTTAAACACTCACCAAACGCCTTCGGGCACCGAGCCGACCGTGCGAGGGATGTATATCCAGTCAAGGTCGTTAAAAACTTCCATTTGTTGTCAGTGAATGTTTCACTGACCGTGCGAGGGCTGTATAGCCAGTCAAGGTTGTTAAAAACTCCCATCATCATCAGTGAATGTTAAGTCATTCCGACCGTGCAGGGCTGTATAGCTAGTCAAGGTCATTAAAAACTTCCATCATCAATGAATGCACCGACAGTGCGAGGGCTGTAAAGTCAATGAAGGTCGTTAAACACTTCCATCATCATCAATTACTGTCTACACTGCAAGAGTTACCTGTGTCAAAAAAATAAAATAAAAATAAATAAATATTTAAAAAACTAATAATAAATGAATATATATATATATATCTAAGTAAAAAAATTAAGAAAAAAATTTATTTCTCAGTTAATATATATGTAATGCTAAATCAACTAAACTATTGAAATTATGCTAACTAAACAGTAACTCGCGATAACCTTCAGTCAGGGGTACTACTAATACAAGTAATTTTTACATCGCGATGACTTTGAGGTCATTCCGATGTATTGCTATCGCCTAGATTTCCATTATGTAAATTAGTTTTGGGTTTGTAACCGATCTATAAACATGATAAATATGCGCACATAAACGAGTGCAAAATAACATTCCTTGTCATTTGATATAAATACATCTCTTCAATGAATACTGATAAAAATATTTTTGTTTACAACATAAATTAATAATGTGAAAATGTTTTGTAGTTAGATATATATATATAAGTAAAAAATCATTGATAATATCAATGCACACGTACCGAAAAATTGTGTTAAAGCATGCGGAAGAATATCTCAAAGAACGTTTTGCGACAGGACCGGTAACTCTGTAAATGTTTTTGCGGGAAAATATGAATGCCTACTCGTATCCAATCTTAGAAAAATCGAATTTTTACAGAAAAGTGTCCACCATGCACTTGCATTGCACTATTATTAGAACAGTAGAATAGAATGATATACAAATGGATGCAAATCATATATATATGTAACTGTTATTTTAATATAATATATAACAACAAATTAGTGTATACTGATTTGTATCACTACAATATAATAGTTATTACGGTGAAGTTGAATTTCCTGTCATTTATTCATCATACTCGCACGCACTTGTCTAGAAAAAAATATATCTCTGTACATTAACCTCAGTTTCAGGTAAAGAGATATGTTGTTTTTTTTTCTGAGACAAGTGCTTTTGACCATCCTCAAGAACTTGTGGTCATCCGATGTTCAGTACTTCAGTACTTTGATTATTTACTTGAAGAAATAAATATTAATATACTTATATAAGTAAATTTGTAGGATACTTATACAAGTGTATTTTATTTACTTGGATAGGTAAACTATTTTTTGGCTTAGTTATGTCCCTTGGACATTCAGATATTTTTACTTATACAAGTAAAAAAGTCATCCTATCTTCTTTTCTTGAATTTCTTGGGACTTCTTTGCTCTAATAGAATTTTTAATTGTCTGTCCTTTGCAGATGTCTTTACTAATCATTTAAGTGTAATTTCAAGGACAATTAAAATCTCATTTGTCTGTTATCTTCATAACTCTTCTCATTTACAAGCCCCCAAAGATCTTTGCGCAATTAGTTTCTTTGTTGAATTAATGAGATGAAACATTGAACTCTAATAAAAAATTATGAGCTAACCGGAGAAAAATTGTTAAAGGCATGTTTTTACATCTCAAAACTTGAGAATTTTTTCGGCATTGTAAAAAAAATTACTTATACAAGTAAATTATTGAGAAAATTAAGGGGAGATTATTCACACACTTTAATTTACTTATATAAGTATATTATTATTTACTTCTTCAAGTAAATAAAGATTACTTGTACAAGTAGTACCCCTGACTGACCTTTGGCTTTTTTTTTCCAAATTCATGGCACCTAAATTATTTTTGTGTCTACACTTTTGGACTTTATATAAATTTTTCTTATCATTAAGCCGCAAGTCAAATCTAAGACTTGAAAAATGGTACTCAGCAAGATCTGGTTTGCGCAAACCCAGTTTTAATTAGCTTTGGGCGATGTCTTCCTGCAGACAGCGTTCCAGTGTACTAGCACTATAAAGTCCTGCAACTACGGTAGGCTAGCACAAAGTAGTCAAAATTATAAATACACCCTTTTGGTTTTTTATTTATTTTATTTCCTTTTATTTGCTTATCTATTTTTGTACATACAAAACCTTTTACTAATTATTTTTGCAAAACTCACATACACATATTTAGGCCTATTTCGGTTTATACAAAATATTTGGCAACTAAATTCACATACACAATTTGGCATATCAAACTTATCCACTGTTTACTTGGCTGCTGGTGTACCAGGACAACGTTGCTGCTGCTCACTGCCGTTTGCTTGGCCTAGCTTTCCTCCTGTTCCTACTTTTGGTGGCTCCATTTAATTATTTTTTATCTATTTACTTTTTATTTTTGTTTTCTTTGGTTTTCTATAAAAATTTTCATTTTTTTCTTTTATTTTACATAAGTTCTATTTTATTTTCATCATTTATTTTTATTCATCAATTTATTTATTTATTAGTTATTCTATCCTTCAAATTTTTACTTACTTTTACTTTGTATTCATAATAGTTTTTTTTCTTATTTGTCATTCTAATTTATATCAATTACCTTATGGTAGAAATTAAGTTATTTAAATGCCCAAAAAGGCGCAAGCCAGGGCCGACCGTGTGAGGGCTGTATAGCCAGTCAAGGTTGTTAAAAACTTCCATCATCATCATAATGACTGTGACCGACCATGCGAGGGCTTTATAGCCAGTCAAGGTCGTTAAATACCCCCATAAGAATGTCAATGACTGTGTATGTTTATATGCTAAATCTGGCTAAATCAAAGTTAGCTAGAAAAATGGAATAACACTTTAAAACACATAAATATGGATGATGGAACTGAGAAACACACTAATGATGACAAAGATGAGGAAGGAAAAAAATCACATACAAATAGCATGGCTTAGTGTACATGGTTACAATACAGAATGAATACATTAATATTAATACTGTTATCTTAAAAAAAGGGGAAATATGTAGCTTTTTATCATTAAAATGAACACTGAAAACAGCGATAAATATGTCGATAAAAAATCTCCAGTTATGAGGCCCAAACTCCAGCTGAAAATTTCCAAATCTCCAGTTGTGATTTGACAACTCTGTCACATGTATGAGACAACCCAATTTGGAGTACAATGTGATTGTAATAAGAAAAGATGTTCAGCACAAGATAAATTGTTTGTGAATCCACAAATAAGTCAATGTCAACCAACTCCTCATAGGAGTTATTGCCCCTGAATGATGATTTTCACTGATTTTGTGCATTTTTGTCAAAAAGTATAGTAGAAAGAAGAAAACTTTAAAGTTTGCAAAACTGATCAGCAAAATAAGTTCTACAAGTAATATCAGCAAGGCAGAAATTGTCGGTCTCCTTATACATGTTTTAGGGTTTATTGCCCTTAACTTGAAAACTATATTAGTTATGTACATGATGTAGGTAGAAACTGTGGACGGTAAAATTTGTCATCAATACATGTTAAAGATTTACACAAATGCCACTGTATAAGAAAAATTTACAAATAAGAAAACATAATTGGTTTCAATTAAGGTAAAAATAAATATCAAAAATGCATATTTTGACACGTTAAGCAATTCTAGTTCTTAGGAACATTTTGTTTTGTTGTAATATATAAACCTATTCAACTGCAATTTGATGACAAATCAGTTACTTATAAATGCTATGTGAAAGGGTTTTTTTTCTACCGTGTAGTTGAGAAAGACAACCGAGAAAATGAAGAAGGCCAGTTGCCCATGTATCTTATACATAGTATAGATCTATACTACACAAAAGTAAAGTCTGTTCCCTTTTGGAATTTTTTCACCAGAAAATACTCTTTAATGGAAATCACGAAAACAGTGTTTCATGAATTCCAAAATATTTTGCTTTCAATGAGTCTGGTTCCAGTATTATATACCTTGGCTCACCATATGCAATTTGTCACTGAACAAAATACCAATTCTAGGATGAATTTTGATTAAAATAAGTTGCAGTTACAACAGCTGATATGTAACTGGTCGCAGGGTTTAGAAGAAATCCTCATAAAAATGTAAAAGTGGGAGGTTAACTGAAGGTTGGTTTGGAAATCCTGAACTCATTATATTTTGCTTTTGCCTTACCATAGTTTTAACTCCATCCATTGCAGCTATTTCCCTTGCAACCTTCGGCAAAAACCAAGTGGTATACCTACACTATCATCGAAAAAAAAAATCAACTTCTTCTAAAATTAAAAATTTTAGATGACAAATATTACAGGAAACCAGTGTCCTATGATTTGACCAACTTCCCAACATGACCTTTTTGCCAGTATGAAATACATTTGTAGTATTAGCATGATTAGTAGACAGTTGAAAAAAATGAAAATGCTAACCTTATGAAACTTAAAATTAGGCTGTCAAGACTTATCTGCCTAACAATTTTTGCAAAGTTTTGGTACTATTCCAAGTAGCTTATATACTATATTGGGTGTATAGAATGATTGTAAGGTGTACATGTCTGTCTGACAGGGTTCATCTAACTTGCTGACCATGATCTCACTTTCATGGTTCTTTGGTAGATTTTAAGTGTTCATGCTACTAAATGTTCATTTCCCAAATACCTTTAAGTTAAAATAATCTTTACTGGGTGTATAGGTAAATGAGAAAATGATTGTAAGGTGTATACCTCATCCATCTGACAGAATTTATTAGACCTTGACCTTATTTTTCATGAAACAGCTATAATGTTCATTAATGAATATCATGTATGTTACTTTCTGTTTTCTGATTTTGAAGATTTTCAGTTTCTACATAACATTAAATCATAATCAGTTATCGTATATGCAGACAAAACATTTCAGCTTTGAGTCTACATGTTTTCTGTGTTTTAATGTCTTTCAACTGATGCCGAAAATTTAACCTTTTTGTGTACTTCAACTTAAGCTTAAACATTATTGGATTAAGTTGTTATAAATACATGTTTTTAGGATATAGATGGTTAAATCAAGTATTGATTTGGTTCTTAAAACTGATTGAAACAGTAGTAGTAGTAACACAGTAGATTTTATTAATTCCTGTTTACATTATACATTGTTATAAGAGTAAAGGATTAAATACAACATGCATTTAATATTATTCAAAATATGTTATTTAAATGATTACAAGAGTTAATCCTCTAGGTGAATTAAAGACATTTTTTCTTGTAAACTTTTTAAAATTGAAATACAAGAAAGTCAAGATGCTTTCAGTAAATAGACTTTAATTGATATGGAGATAGCCATTATGACATTTGGTGTACATGTACAATGTATAGTCAATTCAAGTCAAATACTTATAGCTCATTGTAACACTGTGTGCCTGTATTTTAGTCATACTGTAAAAACATTTGTTTGACCTACAATTTATAGGGCTGTTGTGAACAGGTTGAATACCCTCATTGAACTCCGTAAAAAAAGTTATAGGTGTATAAGGCTCAGATTAATTACTGGTTGTCGACACAATGTCACATTTTATAATTATCTGTTTTGTTGGATGTCTCTTGTTTTAGGATAAAAACATCAGTTTCAAGCTGCACAAACAATGCCTGGAAGTCCAAAATTACTCAGCTCAGCACCGCTGAAACTAATAGATAAAGAATCAATGATGTCAAACAGCTCTGATTCTAGTGAAGATGAAAATCCTGAGCGTGGAAATTGGGGAAATAAAATGGAATTTGTTTTGTCATGCCTTAGTTATGCTGTAGGTCTTGGTAATGTTTGGAGGTTTCCCTATGTTTGCTACAGAAATGGTGCAGGTAATTCATTTTTCTCTATTTAATCATTGTATTCATATTTTATTGTTATTTTTGCACTTTTTTTGTTTGAAAACAGTACTAGTCAGAAAGTATTCTAAATCAGACATTTTGAGTACAAATATTATTAGATAGGTTTTATCATGGTTATGTTAAAATTTTATACCTACTGAAAAGGGAACTATCATTTTATTTTATATCCATTAAGAAATGGTGATTCATGTACATGTAGGTATGATATACAGCTTTATTTAGAAATAATATCTTTTTATCAATTTACAGTATGATAGATTCCGTGACTGAATATAATATAAATTGGACAATCTTGGAATTTGGATGAGGGATTACATTTCATGGGGCTTTTGATCTGCTCACATTTAGTGCCATAATTTGATATTAATGAGCGTTTAATTTGATGAAACTTCAAATTCACATGCCGGTTTGTATTCAGAGTGAAAAATTTCTCTACAAAATTGACATTATTAATGGGCCATGGACATCTTAACTAAGATTGTGTTACTTATAACCTGTCTTATCTACATAATGTGGGGTTAATGTCAATGAGGCATAATGTGGGGTAAATGTCAATGAGGCATAATGTGGGGTAAATGTCAATGAGGCATAATGTGGGGTAAATGTCAATGAGGCATAATGTGGTGGAAAATGTCAATGAGGCATAATGTAGGGGAAAATGTCAATGCGACATAATGTGGGGTAAATGTCAATGAGGCATAATATGGGGAAAATGTCAATAACGCATAATGTGGGGGAAATGTCAATGAGGCATAATGTGGGGTAAATGTCAATGAGGCATAATGTCAGGTAAATGTCAATGAGGCATAATGACTTATGTGCGGTAAATGTCAATGAGACATAATGTGGTGGTAAATGTCAATGAGGCTTAATGTGTGGAAAATGTCAATGAGGCATAATGTGGGGTAAATGTCAATGAGACATAATGTGGGGTAAATGTCAATGAGGCATAATGTCAGGTAAATGTCAATGAGGCATAATGACTTATGTGCGGTAAATGTCAATGAGACATAATGTGGGGTAAATGTCAATAAGGCATAATGTGGGGAAAATGTCAATGAGGCATAATGTGGGGAAAATGTCAATGAGGCATAATGACAATGTGCGGTAAATGTCAATGAGACATAATGTGGGGTAAATGTCAATGAGGCATAATGTGGGGTAAATGTCAATGAGGCATAATGTGGGGAAAATGTCAATGAGGCATAATGTGGGGTAAATGTCAGAGGCATAATGTGGGGTAAATGTCAATGAAGCATAATGTGGGGTAAATGTCTATGAGGCATAATGTGGGGAAAATGTCAATGAGGCATAATGTGGGGTAGATGTCAAAGAGGCATAATGTGGGGTAAATGTCAATGAGGTATAATGTTGGGTAAATGTCAATGAGGCAACTCAATAACACAAATTGCAAGAAGATATTCAGAGAGAAACATACAATCTTCAACAATAAATGGGCATCTACTGGTATACAATTTATATATATATATGTCAAGCTCTTAATTGTCCGAAGTTTGAAGAAAAGTTGTAAATAAATTTAACTGAATCTACTGATAACAATGACCTGCCATCAGCACCAAATTCTCATAAGATTCCATTAAAATATGACACCAGTTGTGGTTGCCAAATTCATTATAATTATATATTCTTTTTGTGTAGATTCTCAGAGGACAGGGTAAAATACATGTATAATTTATGTTTTGTTTTCAGGAGCTTTCTTAATACCTTTTATTCTGATGTTATTTATCACTGGTATACCACTGGTCTTTATGGAGCTGTCTTTAGGCCAGTACTGCAGTTCAGGAATTGTAACCTTATGGAAAGCATCACCAATATTTCAAGGTACATATGTTGTGACCCTTGGTGTATTAATTTGTACTTAGTACAAATATTGGTAATATTATAGTAAGGTGATTGTTGGTTAAATGTGGGTGCTGGATACTTATTTGATTTGATAAACCTTTCTTCTTTTTAACAGAAATTCTTGCAACATCTTTTTTCACCAAATTTGTACGTTTTAAATATGTTCATGATGTTAAAGAATGCATCCCAATATTTGTCTGTTGCTAGAATTTTTAGCTCACCTGGCCTAAAGGTCATGTATGATTTTGCCATCAATTGTGGTCCGTCTGTCTTAAACTTTGTGAATTATTTTCTCCTCTGAAACTACTTCAGGGTTTAAAAAATCCACTAACTTGAAGCATGGGACTAGAAATTTATGCCTCAGGCAATCAAAACTTGTAAGGCAATATGCCTGACGGACTAGTGAAAAAATTTCTTGGCGTTACCAAAAAAGAAAGTGGAAAATCCCTTCCTCACAATTTTTATCTGAGCTAATAAAAAGTCTGTTTTGCTGGGCTAGCAATTCTCCCAACAGGGCTAGTAGAATCCTGCTACCAATAAATCCTTGCTCAAGTGAGCTGTAAACAAAAAATTTAACCCCTGTACTTGGCTAAATTTAACCAAACTTTACCTGAATGTTCCTTATGACATGTGCTGTTGCTAAATATAATTGAAGTTATTGCCCTTGAAATGTAAATTTTAATAAAATTGAGAATTTAAGCATATTTCACAGTTTTTGGCTTATATCTCAAAAACCAATTTTAACATAAGAGCAAAGATGACACAGGTAGAAATGATATGCAGGTCATGATCTATCTATTGAGGAATTTTCAGAAAAAGCACACAAACCATTGTGTAGATATTGACCCTAAAAAGTCAATATTTAGCAAATTTCAAGGTCGGCGTTCATTATCCTAAAAAACTTTAATAGAGGATTTTTACCCAATTTTGCAGAAACCATAATAGATATATAGATAGAAACTGTACATAGCAAAAATGGTCAGCAAAATAAGATCTACATATACAAAATGAAATAAGTCAACATTTCAATTGAAGTTATTGCCCTTGAAAGACAACTTTTATCCAATTTTGAAGATACAAATAAGTCAACATTGCTGAAAATTGTGCATTTACTCCTTTTAGGATTAAATTCCCCCTGAATAACCATGTTTACCCATTTAAGGAATTTTTTTTGCAGAAATTTTAATACAAAGAGAGTTACTATAAAAACAAAAATGTTGAGCAAAATAAAATCCACTTAAAATAAGTCAATATGATCGAACTCGTCAATTGACCCCTTAGAGGAGTAATTTCCCATAAAAGATGGTTTTACCCATTTTTACTTTTTTTGCAGAAATTATATAAAGATAGAGAGAAACGATAGTTAGCAAAAATATTCATTACAATAAGATCCAAGAATAAGTTAACATGGCTATAATTGTCAGCCAACTTCTTATAGGAGTTATTTCCCCTTTAGATGTTTTTTTATCTTTTATGTCCCCCGCAGAGGGGGCATTAAGTTTTGCCCTTGACAATCCTTTGGTCTGCCCTATATTTGTTTCCACAATCTAACTTAAGTTTTCCTTATTCAAAATTTATGAAACTCATACACAATGCTAAGAACCAAAACTCACAGACAGTTCAAATTTAGGCAGCGAGTCACATACTGTTCTAGAGTTATGACTTTTAGTACTTGGAAAATTGCAATTTTTTTTCGTTTCTGCACGCTAACTTAAGTTTGTCTCATCCAAATTTTATGAAACTCATATACTAAATAACTTTGTGGTACCACCACCTCAGCAGATTATATACATTTATTATTGTAACAATATTTTCTTTTAACAATGGAGGGGATATACAAATATATATATACAATGTTTATAAATGTGGTCAGATATATGTTTGTATGTTTATGTATATGTCTTGGTACCAATCCTATAATTTTGCTTATCTTATCTTATACATGCTAAGAATCACAACATGCAGACAGATTTTGAATTTTGCCAATTATCACAAAAACTAATAGATAGGTATAATCTGTAATCAGTAGAAGTGATATTCAAACAAGATCTACAAAAATATCACCAAATAAGATTTACAATAAGTGAACATAACTGATTGAAATAAAGGTATAACTAAACATCAAATATTTTTACCAGATGAGCCTCTTGTTTGTTATTTGAGTAGACTGAATAACAATTTGTGATAATATTGACCAAAATCAAGTGAAGCATTGTTGCATGTCAAGTTGAATGATTTGTTAAAGACTTGAAATAGTTGTATTCACAGGAAACAGTTTTTATTAATGATTTGGTTTTTTTTAAAGGCCAAAGGTTATGCTTTGTTACAATTAACATGTAAATATTTTTATATAAATGATATATTATGTCACCTATTTGTCATGTTAAAACAATACATCACTTTTGTTTGTTTATACAACATTAGTGTTTACCTGTTTCTGTATGTGTTTTATATGATTGAAAACTTGCTTATGTCACCTGTACTGTTGGAAGCCCAATATTTACAGCTTGACTTTATTGTTTAATTTTTTGTTTATAAATTCTTTTATATGATATTAAAATGATATTCTTGAGAAGAAAGGTATAAATGAAAACTTTGACAACTTCTTGTAGTTATATTAAAAGTATAGATCTAAGTTATCCCCTAGGACACAGTACTTGACATGATGCACCATCAACAGTTTTTAACTTCATAATCAGTGTATTTTTTATAAAATGTAGAGTTACTTCAAAGAACCCATGGTATAAAAATATAATGTAATAGCCATACACTTAACTTTGCTTATAAATCCAAAAGAAACTCTTAAATAGATGTGAGTAAAATTTCATTAATGTGTCAAAGAGACAACAACCCGACCAAAGAGCAGAAAACAGCCCAAGGCCACCAATGGGTCTTCAACACAGTGAGAAAAACCAGCAACCAGAGGCTTCACCTAATATCACATCAATAACTCCATATAGGTTGGTCCATATGATTAATTAAAAAAAAAGTAAAGTGTTTCTTCTAGAATGGAGATTATAATACTCTAAATGAAATGAAATATTTTCTCTATATATTATTTCAGGAGTTGGCTGGGCCATGTTCGTTGTGTCAGTTCTGATATCAGTATATTACAACATGATTATAGCCTACACATTGTATTTTTTGTTTGCTTCGTTTGCCAAAATTCTACCATGGAGTGCTTGTGGAGATTGGAGTACTGAAGGTTTGTAAACAAATGTTATGATACTAATTAAGTTTTTGTTTTTGGTTAAGGCCTGTTGCAATTTATTCAAACATTAAAGACTGTATCATTGCATTGAAACATGGATAGAATAGAAGTATTCCTATTTTAGCTCACCTGAGACCTAGTTTTAAATTTAGCATTTTAACAATTTGACATAAGTTATATATACTTTCTACATACATGTTCTATATATATATATTTAAATTCCTCTGATTTATTGTCACCTCTATCATACAACAAAAGTCTTCATACGAAATGATGAGTCACTGAATTGTTTCTTCTAAGGCATAAATCAAGTACTGGATATTTTTTGATAATGCTCAACCAACATTTCTGCCAGTGGTTAAGTTAGTTTTTACGGCAATCTAGGCTAAAATAAAAAAAAAAATGGCAAAGTGGTACTTAAGTATTAATTCTTTAAAACCATTTTTTTCAATGAATATTTACAAGAAATCACTTGAGCAGTTTTTTCAATGAATATGTACAAGAAATCACTTTAGCAGTTTTTTCGATGAATATGTACAAGAAATCACTTGAGTAGTTTTTTCAATGAATATTTAAAATCACTTGAGCAGTTTTTTCAGTGAATATTTACAAGAAATCACTTGAGCAGTTTTTTCAATGAATATGTACAAGAAATCACTTGAGCAGTTTTTTCAATGAATATGTACAAGAAATCACTTGAGCAGTTTTTTCAATGAATATGTACAAGAAATCACTTGAGCAGTTTTTTCAATGAATATGTACAAGAAATCACTTGAGCAGTTTTTTCAATGAATATGTACAAGAAATCACTTGAGCATTTTTTTCAGTGAATATTTACAAGAAATCACTTGAGCTATTGAAATAAAATATGACAGAAAATGTTTGTATTTTGAGGTAATCTACTGTTGATGACGTATCAGATAATGATGCTTCTTGGGAATAAATGTTTTTAAATTGCAAATAATGACAAGGACGTACACTCGTTACAAATAATGTGCGGAAGGTGTTTTTAAAATGTAAGATTTTGTTTGGATCAGACAATAAACTTGGTACCTAAGTCAATTCTTTTGGTCTTATGACTTTTGACGTGACTCAGTATTTATGCATCCTGCTATCAGGTTTTTTTTTACTTTGGTTGTTCCTAGTGCAGGTAGGTCCTGAGGTGCGATTCAAACGCAAGCAGTTTTGACAGTGCTGTTTCCATTTTATTTACTCATGTGTTTATATTTTTTTAATTTGTACTTGAGAAAGTGTATACTTTATATGGTATGTACTATCAACTAGAAAATCTTTTTTTATCAGCGTCTTTGTCAATCTATCATCAACTACAAAAACTTTTTTGTTGACATCTTTGTTGTATTTATTTGTATGTTTGTTTGAATTTTTGAATGGTCAGTTGTGTTGTATGTTTGATGTACTTTTATACTACAATTTTGGCTGCTGTATCCCAATTATTGTCACATTAACCTATTATGTCTGTTTGGTTTGCTCACCCAATTTTGTCAGTATAAATGATCTATAAACAGCTGTCATACAAGTGGGAGGTTTAGCTTGATATGAAACCAGACTTAACCCATCATTTTCTTTGGAAAATGTCTGTACCAAGTCAAGGAATATGACAGTTGTTTTTCACTCATTCCTTTGACTGATAAAGTTTGATTTTATCAGGTTTTTTTTGGACTTCCTCTTTTGGGATTTAACTTATAGTTTGGTACTTTTGTTATACTTTTTGCCTTATTCTGATTAGATAATTTAAAAAGTTCTTCTTTACTTTAACAAGAGGTATTAAATACTTATTTTACACTGGGGGTAAAAAATTATGTTGTTGAATTTTACTTCTAGTTTGTAATGATGGAGAACTACACGAAATAAAAGCGTGTACCAAGGTCGGAGGTGAATGGTGTAATGGAGGATGTATAGCCAACATGTCAGCACTGAACGAGACATACAGACTAGCTATATCACCAAACTGTTCTAACTTTACATCAAATATTAAATCACCTAGTGACGAATTCTTCCAGTGAGTACTGAGATTTGTTGGATATTTAATTTAAAATGTAGTCAATAGTTCAGCATTGAAAAATACCCACAGGATGGTTAGTAGATAATGAAAAGGAAAAAATGTGGTGTATTAATATTTATTCATTACACAAAATCACTAAGCGCACATGATAAAAAACAAAAGAAAATGAGGAGTGCTTCCTCGCTAAATCACAGTGAGCCCTTCAGCATCAAGCAAAAACTCTCACAACATTGCAAGTTCAAGATGGCCCTTAGCACAGGATTAAATTTTTTGCTAGCATGCCTAGCATGCTACATCTAAGCATTAAAGAACACAGCTTCTTGTAATATTAACCAATTTTACAACTGGCAATTTCAGATTAAATTAAACAATCATTTTCACTGTAAATATTAGGAATAGTGTAAACATTTCTATAAGCAAGGGAACATTAAGATTTATGTCAGATAATTTGCCAGGAATTTAGGTTTGAATATGGTTATTTATTCTGGTTGACTGTCTTACAATTTCAATGCACAAATAACAAAAAAGTAGCACAAATTAGTGAAATATTTTCAAGATCAAATGCATCATAACTGTAACCATATGAGCTAGAGTATACGTCTAAAGCACAGGTAAACCAAAAGCACAGAAACATTGCTTAAATTGCTGTTCTTCATCTCAAAGTCACAATGAGGCCTCCTTATTGAGCAAAATATATTTCCTCAAAGTTCTAAAAAGTTCCTAGAACTGATGAATTCTTTTCATGATGAGGACTGGTTGTGTCCTGGCTGATTGATCTCTTTTGGTTCATTTTTAGGCAGTTAAGCTGCCTTATGCGAGCACCCTAGATTTGTGTTCTACCCAATAAATGCTGAAATACGTGCCATTGTTATTATCTAGCTGGATATAATGTTATTTATAACTAATTGAATAGTTTTTTCATACTTTTAATTCTGGATTACAAAAATATGACCAGAAAAAACCTTAAATGATCGTCGAACCACCCAAAAGTTTTGAAGTTGCACATAGGAAGTAGAGCACATTAGGAATCCTTATGTAGTTTATTATCCCCTGTGCTTTTGGCAAAGATGTCAAAGAACAATTGTATGAAATATTTAATCGCCGAAAATCTTTAAAGACAAGTAGTTTAGATTTCCCAAATGGCAAAAGTCGTAGGAATATTGTTTGTCGTCAATACGTGTTACAACTACGTCAGTAGTCTATTAATAAGTTCCACTGTTCATGCTGTTGGCGGCAATTTCAAATTAGAAGACGAAATTTTCGTATCTTTTCAATTTGGAGGCAGGGGTTCAAATTAGCGGTGGTCCGAGGTCCGCGACCTTCCACTTTTGCAATCGGACTCTCGACTTGGTTACTAGCTACGCCCGACGGACCTTTCACTTGAAAGAAAATTAAAAATAACTTTGCAAACCTTTTTACCAAAGTCTCTAAATAAACGATCTCAAAACGTATTTTCATCTTTATTATTCATGACAGCGATGTTCATTTTGTTCAACCGCTAGCTTTATGCAGATAATCGCCTACAAGTAATGTGTAAATTCGAGTAAAATCGTATCTGACTGACAAAAACAACATTGAAAAACAATGGATGCCGTGTAGACAATTACAATATCGGGTCCGATTCCGGAAGCGGATAAGGGTAATTCCGGGTTTTGGAGATCAACTACAAATAAAATTTCAGGCAGGTGACAAAATACATCTATGCATGGTAAATAAATATAAACACTAGAAATGGAAACCAAAAGATATATGTAAAAGAAAGAAAAAGCAAAAAATATTTGATACAGAAACTCAAAATTACTTTTTGACAAATTTTAATGTCAAAATCCAATACAATGTGACAGCTGGGAACAGTATATCTAACAATATATATGTTCCTGGTGACAGTATAAATCTTCTTTATCAGTGATAAATGTTGATAATGCATGTAAGATGCTTTTAAAGTATAAACATATTACTGCAATTTTTTTCTCAATTTTGAAGGGTCAGTTAACATAGCTGGAAGTTTCTTACTTTGTTTTCGCAAATAGTGCAACTAGATTATATGATACCTGAATGTAAGCAATTCATATGATATATAGGTGGAATCCTTTGGGTCACTCTACCCCCTCCTGTTTGATAACTTTGAAACGGATGAGATCCCCACCCCTAAACCATATATATTCATGTATGGGACTATATAACTAATCAAATGAAATATAGGGGGAAGTCCCTAGGGTTACTCCACCCCTCCTGTTTGAGAACTTGGAAACAGTCGAGATCCCCACCCCTAAACCATATATATTCATGTATGGGACAATATAACTAATCAAATGAAATACAGGGGAGTCCCTGGGGTCACCCCAACCCTCCTGTTTTGGAACTTTGAAATGGTCGAGATCCCCACCCCATAACCAAATATATTCATGTATGGGACAATATAATAAATCAAATGAAATATAGAGGGAGTCCCTGCGGTCACCCCACCCCTCCTGTTTGAGAATTTGGAAACGGTCAAGATCCCAAGACAAGACAAGACAAGACAATTTATTTAAACTTAAGCACACGTATGGTGCTACAAGAGGATAACAATTATACATTAACAATTACATATATACTTATACATTTACAAGCAAGACACACAACAAATAAATAAGTGATATCATACAATAAAATTGAAATAAACCATAGTTGGTTGATTTGTTTGCAAAATTCTTAATTGCAACGTGGATATGAAGTTATTGTAACATGCTTTGTATTATGAAAATATTTTTTCAATATGTCTTAGAAACATGCACACTTTTGTTAGCAGTGGCACGTTACAGTGTGATAATAGACCAGTAAGTTTCAATTGGGAAGGATTTTGTGTGTAATATGTAGGTATATATCTTTCTCTTAAAGACATAATTTGTTCATTGGAGCATACAAAAAAATAATGATCCCATAAACCATACATATTCATGTATGTGACAATATAACAAATGAAATGAAATATAGGGGGAGTCCTTGGGGGTCACCCCACCCCTCCTGTTTGAGAACTTGGAAACGGTCGAGATCCACCCCTTAACCATATATATTGATGTATGGGACAATATAACAAATCATATGAAATATAGGTTGAGTGCTTGGGGCCACTCTACCCCTTCCTGTTTGAGAATTTGAAAACGGTCGAGATCCCCACCCTAAACCATATATATTCATGTATGGGACAATATAACAAATCAAATGAAATATAGGGGCAGCTCCTATGGTCACTGTAAACCATCCTGTTTGAGAACTTGGAAACGGTCGAGATCCTCACCCCGAAACCATATATACTCATGTATGGGACTATATAACAAATCAAATGAAATATAGGGGAGTCCCTGCAGTCACCCGACCCCTCCTGTTTGAGAACTTGGAAACAGTCGAGATCCCGACCTCTTAATTAAACCATATATATTCATGTATGGGACAGCAGAACTTATCAAATGAAATATAGGGAGAGTCCTAAGGTTCACCCTACCCCCTCCTGTTTGATAACTTGGAAACAGATGAGATCCCCACCCCTAAACCATATATACTCATGTATTTGGCAATATAACAAATCAAATGAAAAATAGGGGAAGTCACTGGGGTCACCCCACCCCCTCCTGTTTGAAAACTTGATAACGGACGAGATCCCCACCCCTAAACCATATATATATTCATGTATGGGACAACATAAAAAATCAAATGAAACATAGGGTTAGTCTCTAAGGTCACCCCATCCCCTCTTGTGTGTGTTTTAAGAACTTGTAAAAGTTTGAGATACCAACTCCTAAACCATATTCATTCCTGTTCGTCATTTCAAACAGATTTGAATGACATACAAGGTCAATCTCATAGGCATCACATATGCATATCACTTTACTAGACCTAATCAATGTGTACTAGACTTTGCCCAATGTCAGGCGACCATGGGAATGAATAATTATGGCAGCTTTGTTTGGGAGACTTCGTAACAGCATTCTGTTACAATTATTTCTTGTTTATTATAAAATTTTATTGACGCAAAAAATGAGCAGGTTTAAAGAATTTACCTTAATTATATTTTGAATAATTTCTGGTTCTATAAAAAATTTCATTTTAATATGGCTCATTTTAAAGAAAACATATCTTTCAAGCCCAAGAGTGTTTGACCAACTTTATTATAATCACCTGTCATTTTATTCCAAACTTAGACATCATGGACTTGGGGTGAAGGCGGGGGTCATTTACATTTACTATGGGCAGGTCAGTCAGACCTCACCTTTGATCCCCGTAGTAGTAAACATTTGTCTGATTTGTGTCTCATAACTTTTGCACTGTAGAACACAAACTCAGTTTTCTTTCCAGGGAAGCAAGTCCATGCATACTATTACAAGCTCGTACTAAGTCAACTTGAACTACTAACAGTCAACTAATACCAACGTTAACTATCAACTAGAACAACTGCAATCATTTCGAACTTGTACCACTGCAGACACATGACCATTAAAAATATACTTGATATATGCGTTGCTTTTGAAAACCTTGATAAAATATGAATTATTTGCCTTAATAATTAATTCATTAAATGAACATAAATGCACAATATATGAATGTTTAATGTTTGTTCTTTTAAATCTTAAAAAAAATGAAGCAACATAGCCACAGTTTTCATAATTATGTTTGCCTTGGTTTTTGGTTAACTGCCTACAGCGCTTACAGTGCTTTGATTATACTGGCTGTGTCCTGGCACTGTTCTGTTTCCCGGTTATACTGGTTTTGTCCTCGCTGATTGCTCTCATCTGGTTCATCGTTATACTGGTTTTGTCTTGGCTGATTTCTCTCTCCTGGTTTATTATACCCAACAAAGTTGCGCAGGGTATAATGTTTTTGACGCGTCGATCCTTCTGTCCATCAGTGCTGTTGTTGTCATTGCAAGTTCTCTGAAATCACACAACAGAGTTTCATGAAACTTTGTAGGTAAGAAGGACATACTTTGTGCATATCAACAAGAAATTATGATTCAATTATTTTTCTAGGACTTATGCCCCTTTGAACTAAGAATTTTGGCCTAACTTTACTACTGCAACAGTTTGTCATTGCAACTACTCTGATATTTCACAATAGAATTTTATGAAACTTAGTAGATGTGCATATCAACAGGAAATTATGATTCAGTTTTTTTTTCTAGAACATATGCCCCTTTGAACTTAGAATTTAAACTAAATTTTCTTCTGCAAACGTTTGTTAGTGTAACTCCTCTGAAACCACACAACAGAATTTCATGATACTTTTTTGTTAATGAGGACATAATATGTAGATGTGCATGCATATATCCACAAGAAATTTTCATCAGTTGACTTTTGTAGGAAGTGTGATTCATTGAACTTAGAAATCTGGTGAGATTTTGTTTGCCCAGTATTATTGTGTGGGTGTGGGGTATGTGAGCATGCTTACAAAGGTTCTATAATTGTTATACTGGTTGTTTCTTGGCACTGTTATGGTTCCTTGTTTTACTGGTTGTATCCTGGCAATGTTCTGGTTCCTTGTTTTACTGGTTGTATCCTGACTGATTGCACTGTATTGGTTCATTGTAAACTGGTTGTGTCCTGGCAATGTTCTGGTTCCTTGTTTTACTGGTTGTATCCTGAATGATTGCACTGTATTGGTTCATTGTTAAACTGGTTGTGTCCTGGCAATGTTCTGGTTCCTTGTTTTACTGGTTGTGTCCAGACTGATTGCAATGTTTTGGTTCCTTGTTTTACTGGTTGTGTCCAGACTGATTGCAATGTTTTGGTTCCTTGTTTTACTGGTTGTGTCCAGACTGATTGCAATGTTCTGGTTCCTTGTTTTACTGGTTGTGTTCTGACTGATTGCACTGTATTGGTTCATTGTTAAACTGGTTGTGTTCTGGCTGATTGCACTATTCTTTCTTGCCCTTCATTAGGTCAAAATCAAATCAAGGAGATTAGTGCAAAATAATGGACTGTAATAATTATAAGATTTTAATGTACTGTGGCTTCATTTGTTTCCAAGGGTATCAAGCATGCCAAGTTTTAGTGGTTTTTGGACAATTAATATTTACATGGAGACTTTATATTTTGTTTAACACTTTAAAATTTCATGGTTCATCTTATACAAAGGATTCCAAAATTTGCTAAAATGATTATTTTATTTGTATATAAAATCTCTAGTAATTTTTACTAATAGTATCTTTGTTTTAAAGTGAACATGTATTAGGAATAACTGATGGAGTTCATGAAATGGGAACGATACGATGGGAGCTTGTTGGATGTCTAGCTTTAGCCTGGGTACTAGTTGGATTATGTCTAGCAAAGGGCATAAAAAGCTCTGGGAAAGTAGGTGAAATGTCAAAAGCCATTTGTGCTTGAATTTTGATAGCGTAGATTTTAAGTTAAAAGAAAAAAAAATGAAAAATTTGAAGAAACTATGGTCATCGTGGAATATTTGACAGACTTGTGGAAGAAAACAAGAACAAACTTATAATGAGAAGAAAAACATTTGAAATGATATGGTTCCCCTTAGCTTTATGGAATGTAATAATTGAACAGGCAACTTAAGTTACTTACATATCTGACCAATTAAAGACAAGACATATTATTAAACCATGATGGACTTTACTGTTACAAATTCATACAAATGTTATCTATAAATATGATGAAAAAACAATGTTATTAATTGGACTTTTAATGGTATGATTTGTATTGTGTTTTCAGGCAGTATATTTCACAGCATTTTTCCCATATGTTGTACTGATGATTTTATTGGTTCGTGGATTAACATTAGAAGGATCTGTGGATGGTATTGTATATTTCTTAACTCCACAGTGGAGTCAGCTAAGTAAAGCTCAGGTAAGCAATCTATCTGTATCAATAAAAATAGAACCCACTATTGTTATTGTTTTGTAATTATATATCAATTTATCTTCCTCTTGTTTGAAGAAGAAATTGTTTTTGATAATTTAATAAGTTCAAACAAAATTGTAAGATTGTTATTGAGCTCAATAGAAAAGAAGGTAATTACTGATGTTAATTGGTAATGAGTACTTTAGTACTCAGGGAAAGTTTACCTTAGATGGATTTGGCTATCTTTATGCCTCACCTATTATAGTAGTAGGGGCATTATGTTTTCTGGTCTGTGCCTCAGTTTGTTCGTTTGTCTGTCCATCTGTTTGTCCCGCTTCAGGTTAAGGTTTTGGTCAAGGTAGTTTTTGATGAAGTTGAAGTCCAATCAACTTGAAACTTAGTACACATGTTCCCTATGATATGATCTTTCTAATTTTAATGTCAAATTAGAGTTATGACCCCAATTTCATGGTCCACTGAACATAGAAAATGATTGTGCGAGTGGGGCATCCGTGTACTATGGACACATTCTTGTTTAAGGTCCCTTTTTGGTCATATAGCTCTTCACTTGATTTGGTTCTTATACATCCTTGGTTTTCAAACTTTTGGCTTTGAACGTTCCTGATGAATGTAAATCTAGAAAAGCGCTTCAGACGCATGAAATTTTGTTTTAATTTTGTTTTTTTAAATGTTAAAAGTTTACAGATCTTTCTTATATGTATTTAGATAAAGCTGAAAGGCTGTGAATGGTTTATTTCTATTAAATAATTATATTTATATATAGAATATGATACTCTCTTAAGAAAAAGTTGCAAAAATTTTGGAATTGAAAGATATTTTTTCTGAAATAACTCTCATATTGCCAGCATAAATTCAGTATTTGTTTTTTAAAGATAAGTAGATTCCTGTATACGGGTTCATGTTCTGGACACCAGTCTTTGCTCCTTTCCATAGGAAATAAGGATAACAAAATGAAGCTCAGAAACGGAAAAATAGATAATACCAAGTTTGTTCAAAGGGTATCTACACGTCTCAATCTTGAAATACTACAATTGCTAACATTTTCAATAACATAGTGTGGCGTCCATTTCGCTGAAGTAGTGTACATTATTGTTAAGGAGCCAGCTGAAGTCTGCCTCAGGGTGTGGGATTTTCTCGCTGTGTTGAAGACCTATTGTGGCATAAGGCTGCTTTCTGCTCTTTCTACATTCCCTGTTTCCATTTTCTATTCTAATATGATCAAATATTTTGAGGGGTCATGCATGTGAAGTGTACCTTGAATGTTTGTTTAGTTCATTTATACAGTGTATATATAGTTACAAGAGATTGCATTTGAATTCTACTTTGACACTAATGGTGACCAGTAATAATTCTAGATGTATTAGGCTGTAAATTGATAATAATTTTTGTCTGACCCTGAACCAGAGTCAGGGTAGGGGGAGACATAGATAATACTTTTCAGGGGAGGGGGGGGGGGGGGCAGTGCAATCAATCATTTTCAGAAAACTAATACATCTTTTCCCATATTTATATAGGATGACAAAACCATTCATGATGACTTTATCAGTCAGTCATTGTCATAACCTTGACGTAAGTCATTGAACTGTTCAGATTAATATTTTATTTCTCACCCTATACCTTGATTTAAAGAATTTCTACATAAAATTTAATCAAGAAAAGTAAAGCAGGCAGTACATCTCATCTTGTGCACTCTTGTGAAATTTATGGAAAAATGTTATCTATATGATAGAGGCTGATCTGATATGATGTTACATAAGAACTGATCTGATTGGATATTATAAACAGGTATGGGTTGATCTGATATGATGTTATATAAGAACTGATCTGATTGGATATTATTAACAGGTATGGGCTGATGCAGCTGTACAGATATTTTTCTCTCTGTCACCTTGCTGGGGAGGTTTGATTACTTTAGCCAGTTATAACAAGTTCCGTAATAACTGCTTCCTGTAAGTATTTACAGGGGTGGGGAACCAGTTTACCTGATTCAGATAATGCCCAGTCAGTTCATTTACCATCGTTTGTCATTGCACTTATTTATTTTAATTTGTGATTATTGTTGTTGCTAAAGGAGTGCATTGAATTGTGTAATTTAAAATGTGTTTTGGCAAAATATCACTTACAATAAAATTGGAAATAGAGCTGTTCCAGGAAAAAATTAGCAAGTGGTCTGTAGGAATTTCATATAAATTTTTATTGGTAGTTTCTGTGGGGTTGCACTATAAATATCAGATAATTTTACAGAAAACACATCTCTTGATATTCAGCCTACATTTTTGCTTCTATTGAAAATTTTTGGTAATGCAAAATTTTCTTGTTACTATAATGGATGGTTAACAGTTTGTATTAGAAAAATCATTACAAAAATTGCTAAAAATGTTATAATTTTTAATTCCTTTTGATATTGTACAATCATGATAACATACAGTAATTGTTATTGATCAGGCCTCTACAATAACTTTTTTTTCAACTTGTCCAGTAGGACAAGAACAACCCAAAACTTACTTGTCCGAATGAAATTGTAACTTGTCCAAAACAAATCTTAATAATAACCTTTTTTGCCTTATAAGTTGATCCAAGGAACAAAATGAATTAAAACAATAGAACAGAATTTGATTTATATCTTTTGAAATACTTTTCAAAAATATGAGTCGAGAACAACTGAATCTAGTCATGTTACAGGGCTTAGGTTCTAGTTTTCATCAATGCCAAAGTCTCATCAGACTCTGCACATGAGGCACCGTCTGATAGGCCTGTCAATGTACACTCATTGGATTTGTATCCTGGTTGTTTAAGTTGAAAAAAGATTATTCAAATGCAATCAATAAAAAAAAGAAGATGATGTATGATTGCCAATGAGACAACTCTCTACAAGAGACCAAATGACACAGAAATTAACATCTATAGGTCACCGTATTGCAAGTATTGTTTCTTTCTACATATGATCAAATATGATTTTGTGAATTTTATGGTAAATAATTTCTTCATTTTGATTTAAAAAATATTTTTGTTAAAAAAATTACCGGTATGGTATTTATTATAAAGCAACAGAATAAGGTAGGAAACGAGGTACTGATTTGTCTTGGTCCCGAAATGTCTCCTGCGTTGCCAAACTGTCTATTAATCATGTCTATTAAATATGTCTCCTACGGTGACAAACTGTCTTTTAAACTTAGGAGCCGAATCATTTCCGAGCTGGTGAAGAACTGTCTTGTAAAGTTACCTTTTCTACAAAGCGCATCGCTGATTCGGATCAGTAAAACTGGTTTCCGAGAATAGTATGCCTTTTACCTATTAAAAAGTACCTGACAAAAAACCAGTTTAAAATTATCGGTTTGCAAGTAAACATGTCAAATTAATACTTGTTTTTATCTTCTTTTCTTGTTTTTTGTTTATAATTACTTTGTTCATCAAAGTTGGATTAAATTTATTTTCTGCAGAACAATTTTACTTGTCCCGTCGGACAAGCTTGATCTAGCTTTTACTTGTCCGACCGTTTTTTCCTCTGGTACCGGTCAATCGGACAATCGTTATTGTCGAGGCCTGTTGATTTTAAGAAGGTTAAATAAAGTGGTATGTTTCCAGAGCACATTTGATTTTGCAGGTCCTCTACATAAGACATTTGAATTTACATCATACAATCTTATATAACTTAAGTTAAGCTAAAAAAAATATTTTCGTACCAGTTCTAACAAATAGTTATTGCTCATATTAATAATAAAACAAATAATATTTTATTTACTTGCCTAATTGCTCAACCTGGCAAATGGTATATGCACTTTAAATTTCCAAAATGTACAGGTTTCAAACTACCTGCTTAGGTCTGTGCAAATTTTTTTATATTTTGAGATTATGTCTTAAACATCTATTAATCATTGTCTGTATTTTTGGTAAAAATTATATGATATTGAATTCAGATGTCTGATGTGTCCTACCCTAGAGAGTTTACTTTCATTTTTGATAACTCATACTAACATGGAGTTTCAATTTTTTAATACTATGAAAAGAAGAAATACATATATCAAATTTGAATATGTATGGCACAGAAAAGATCTTCTGATAGTGTGCATTTTTAGATATAAAGTAAAACATTCAGCAAATGCCAGACCAGTTTAGAAAATACACATGTACTTTTTATAAGGGAAAATTTAGAAATATGTGCCTATGGACCTTATGATTTACATTGAATATTGAACGTTTACTGTTTTTTCTCCTGAATATATAAAATTTTATAATTTTTATGCTTTAGATTTATTGATCTTTGAAGTAATATAACTCTAGGGTAAATATAATTATTATATTATGTTGAAAAAAATAAAATGGGATGCATTGATCTAGACCGTACAATTTTGAGAACTCCATGTCAGTAAATGTTTTCTGCATGTTCTTAATTTCATTACCGTAATCTTTATAGATCTAATAGTAAATTTCATTGACATTCAATCTACAAGAAATTCTTGATTTCTGTGATGATATTAACTGTTAAAAACATTATTTTGATGTAGCAATATTATGTTGTGAAAGTTATTGAATTCAGAAAGAACATTTTATAAAAGAAAGACAAAAATATGTAAATTTTAGACATTGCTTGAATGTCAAAAATAGCTAGTTTATATTTATTTGAAGAACTTTAAATCCTAGAAATTATTTCTGATTGCTAAAATTGTCCTTCTTTAGTGATGCCATTATTGTATCTGTGATGGATTGTGTGACAAGTGTATTTGCCGGACTAGTCATTTTTGCTATCATCGGATATATGGCACATGAACTGAATGTAGAACTGGACCAAGTAGCAAGTGAAGGTATGTATATTTAAGATAATATGGGAGTATGAAAAAATAGGACAATTAAATATTTTTATACTTTGTCAAATTGTACTTTATATCACTGTGATCATATTTTTCTATTGTTAGAATAAACAGTAAAAAATGAAAATAAAACTTTTATAATTTCATGCGTCTGAAGTGCTTTTCTAGATTTACCTTCATCAGGAACACTCAAAGCTGAATATTTGAAAGTAAATGTCATTGAGCGTGCTTTCAAGTTTTGGATTTGAGAAGGGAAAAATCACCAATATGTGTTCAGAATGTACATGATGTTGTGCATTATTATGAATTCAGCAGAGGTGAATGACGATCCGCTATTTTTTAACCAAATTCTATAAAGGCATAAATAGGACAGTGGCAACCACTAACTATATATCTTTTGATAGGCATATTGGTGGCGCAGACCTGCCAACTATCCCTATTTTCATGCCTCAACCAGAATCCCGATATCAGGATCGTAAAACAAGTCAAAATCCTGATTTTCACAAAATCTACCCGAATAAATTGTTGGGTACCGATTTTGAAGTTTTTCTGATCAATTTCTATAAATCTATAATTTTACCTGGCGACATATTTATGGCAAGCTAAAGACCCCAGCTATTCAACTGTCACAACAGGTGTCATAATTTGTTGTTACAGGTAATCTACTTATCTGCTGGGTCATAATGATCCTCAAAATTAATTAATTTGATAAAAAGAATCGGTCAGTTGCCATTTCAATTTTAATCAATTTGAATTTATCATATGATCACAATTTGCAATGTTTACCGTAGTATCATAACAAAAACGTAATTAACTGAAAGACAAAAACTGTAATGAACTCATTATCATGATTATGAAACATCGTTAATCTTGAAATCAGATGTGTTTCTGTCCAGTTGAACAGTTCTGATTTAAAGTCGACGCCATATTGTATTCACTTTTACTGTGTATAAGCCTCCGCCGGTAGGAGCACCTTTGAATACCAAGAAAGATAACTCAAATTTTATCCATTGTCTCATTACTGATAAACTAACTCAAGATCTGTCTCCATCCTTCTAACTTTAGGACATTTAGGTTTAGGTCTTTTGAGTCAATGTGCAAAGATAATAAAGATCTTTGGAGGGGGGAAACGGGGGTCTTCATTTTGTATCCTTTATTTTTTTAGGCCATTTTTCTTTATTCTTAAGTTATTTTGCCAACTAATAAGTACAAGAATCATGCAAATAAAAGAAAACAAGGCATATACGCTCATCATCAGTATACCAAAAGAAAAAAAGAAGAGATATGAGATTATTTTAAGAGTATAAAAATAGTGCATACAGAAATGCCGCAAAAATGTTAACCCTTAAAAATCTGGTCCCACACTAAATCCCCCATGGGGATTTTCAAAAGTTGGCAGGTCTGGTGGTGATGTTTGCTTACTTTAAAAGATGTAATTATCATGAAAGTTACCATAAAATAAGGATAGCATTCAAATTATTATGTAAAAACTGATTTTTTAATAAATCTTGTTATTTTAGGTGCTGGTTTAGCTTTTGTTGTTTATCCAGAGGTTGTGACAAAGTTACCAATATCACAGTTGTGGTCTGTTCTCTTCTTTGCTATGTTAATCACATTAGGTTTAGGTACACAGGTACGTATGTGTAGAAATTTAGAAATTTTATAGCGTAAACATAATACATCAGTTCTATGAAAATTATTAGAAATAACTACTATTCCTACATCTTTTTGGTAATTCTTTGTTATCAAATGACATCCAAATGGGTTGGTATTTTTAGTCCCCTACCGATGAAGTCGAAGGGGACTTTAGGTTTGCATTTGTCCGTCTGTCTGTCCGTCCGTCAGTCCGGCAACTCAGCTTTCCACACTTTTTTTCTTCGTTCTTGAAGATATTGATTTGATATTTGGTATATAGTTTTATCATGACAAGTTATAGATCAAGTTCGAATTTTGTTCCGGTCTGATGATTAAGTCCAGAGTTATGGTCCATAAAAAAACTCCATAACTAATGTTAGAGTACCATATAATCTGTACAAAGGGAGATAACTCATTTTTTTAAAGACATTCTTTGGTAAATTGTTTGAGGAATTTTGTGGCAGGTTTATATGTTATTTTGTATAAACTAATTTTCTGAATGCTACATATATATATATATTTTTTTTATTAAGTGAAATCCTTAAATTAGATAATAATCTATTTTTATTAAGGTATATATTTCATTACATTACATTGTGTAGATAAAAGTTGTTGACATTTTATAGATAAGTTACAAATCTATATTAGTTTGTGACAAATGAAAGAACAAATATTTGGAACTATTAATTATATTTGATTGTAATTTGAAAATAGATATACATTGTATTACATCATATCTAATGTTAGAGAACTATTAATCATATCTAATGTTAGAGTGTTATAGGTTTTCCACACTTTTTAGCTCACCTGGCCCGAAGGGCCAAGTGAGCATTTCTCATCACTTGGTGTCCGTTGTCATCGTCGTCCGACGTTGTCGTCGTTAACTTTTTATATGACCGCAAAAACATTTTTGTGGTCGTATATTGGTATGATGTTGGCGTCATCGTCGTCGTCGTCATCCGAAGACACATTGGTTTTCGCACTCTAACTTTAGTTTAAGTGAATGGATCTCTATGAAATTTTACCATAAGGTTCAATACCATAAAAGGAAGGTTGGGATTGATTTTGGGGGTTATGGTACCAACAGTTAGGGAATAAGGGGCCAAAAAGGGGCCAAAAATAAGCATTTTTGTAACTTCCAGACATAACTTGTGTGTTAGTATATGGATCTCTCTGACATTGTACCACAAGGTTCCATATCACAAAGGGAATGCTGGGATTGATTTTGGGGGTAATTGCATCCAAATTTTAGGAATTAGGGGCCAAAAAGGAGGCAAAAAACAAGCATTTTTCTAGTTTCATGACAATAACTTGTGTGTAAGTGTATGGATCTTTATGAAATTGTACTACAAGGTTCCATATCACAAAGGGAAAGCTGGGTTTGAGTTTGGGGGAAATTGCCCTAAACGTTTAGGAATTTGGGGCCCAAAAGGGGCCTAAAAACAAGCATTTTTCTTGTTTCCAGACAATAACTTGTGTTCAAGTGTATGGATCTCTCTGAAATTGCACTGCAAGGTACCATACCATTAAGGGAAGGCTGGGATTGATTTTGAAGGTAATTGCCTCAAAATTTTAGGAATTGGGGGCCAAAAAGGGGCAAAAAATCTAGCATTTTTCTAGTTCCAGAACAATAACTTGTGTGTAAGTGTATGGATCTTTATGAAATTGTACTACAAGGTTCCATATCACAAAGGGAAAGCTGGGTTTGAGTTTGGGGGTAATTGCCCTAAATGTTTAGGAATTTGGGGCCAAAAAGGGGCCAAAAAACAAGCATTTTTCTAGTTTCCAGACAATAACTTGTGTTAAGGGGATCTCTCTGAAATTGTACTGCAAGGTACCATACCACAAAGGGAAGGCTGGGATTGATTTTGGGGGTGATGAATCATAAAGGGGTTCAAAAAATTGGGGGGGGGGATTTTATTTTCCTTTTTTTTTCTTTAAAATTTTTCATTTTAAATTGGTTATTTCTGATTTATATATAAAAGCAAATAATAATGATGCGGTTTGAATAGGTAAATTAAAAATTTTTAAGTTCTTAGACCTCATTCATTCTGTGTCAGAAACCTATGCTCTGTCAAATATTTAATTACAATCCAAATTCAGTGCTGTATCAAGCTTGAATGTTGTGTCCATACTTGCCCCAACTGTTCAGGGTTCGACCTCTGCGGTCGTATGAAGCTGCGCCCAGCGGAGCATTTTATTACATTTTGAACTTCTTCTAGAGAACCACTGAATGGAATGAAACCAAACATGGCATGAATGTTTCTTATGAGGTGCTGACCAAGTGTTGTTACTTTGAAGCCGATCCATCATCCAAGATGGCTGCCAGCGGGGGACTTAGTTTAACATAGGACCCTATGGGAAATACATACAAATGTCTTCTTTTAGAGAACCACTGAACGGAATGAAACCAAACATGGCATGAATGTTCCTTATGAGGTGCTGACAAAGTGTTGTTACTTTGAAGCTGATCCATAATCTAAGATGGCCGCCTGCAGGGGACTTAGTTTAACATAGGACCCTATGGGAAATACTTACAAATGTCTTCTTTTAGAGAACCAATGAATGGAATGAAATCAAACATGGCATGAATGTTCCTTATGAGGTGTTGACCAAGTGTTGTTACTTTGAAGCTGATCCATCATCCAAGATGGCCGCCAGCGGGGGACTTAGTTTAACATAGGACTCTATGGGAAATACATACAAATGTCTTCTTTTAAAGAACCACTGAATGGAATGAAACCAAACATGGCATGAATGTTCCTTATGAGGTGTTGACCAAGTGTTGTTACTTTGAAGCCGATTCATCATCCAAGATGGCCGCCAGCGGGGGACTTAGTTTAACATGGGACCCTATAGGAAATACATACAAATGTCTCCTTTTAAAGAACCACTGAATGGAATGAAACCAAACATGGCATGAATGTTCCTTTTGAGGTGCTGACCAAGTGTTGTTACTTTGAAGCTGATCCTTCATCCAAGATGGCCGCCAGCGGGGAGACTTCCTTCAACATAAGACCCTATTGGAAATACAATACAAATGCTTCTTCTAGAGGTGCACTGAATGGATAGAAACCAAACATGGTATAAATGTTTCTTATGAGGTGCTGATGAAGTGTTGCTACTTTGTTGCTGATTTACTGTTAAAGATGGCCACCAGGATTTTTATTTAATTACAGGGCCAATATTAAACCAAATTTGGCCTCACTCATTTTTAGGGTATCTGTTATGATTTTAATCTATTTTAACATGATTTCCAAAACCAAAGTAGAATCAGGTGAGCGACACAGGCTCTTTAGAGCCTCTAGTTTTCATCATGCTTGAAGATATTGATTGACAATTGGTATATAGTTTTATCATGACAAGTTACAGATTAAGTTCAAATTTTTGTTTGGTCTGATAATTTTGTGCAGAGTTATGGTCCTTGGACTTGAAAAAATTCACTCATATATTTAGTTTTCCACACTGTTTTTAGTCATGCTTGAAGATATTGACTTGATATTTTCTTTTTGTTTACACCATGACAAGTTATAGAACAAGTTAGCATTTTGTTCCAGTATAATGAATTTTTACCCGGTAGGGGACTATGTATTGCCATGCAATACTCTCAGAATGCTTGTTTTTCATATATTCCTGATTTTATTGAAAGTAAAGATAAATTATTTAAATAAAAAAGCCTTAAATATCCATGTTATGAACGTTATCAATAACATTATACATTTTCTTTCAGATTGCTACCGTGACAACAGTACACACCACATTGATGGATTACTGGCCACACGTGTTCCGTGTTAATCAGAAACGCAGAATATTATTATTGGTCATGATTGCTGTTACTTGCTTCTTATTAGGTCTTGCATTTTGTACACAGGTAAGGTCCTGTATAAATGTGTGCCTTTTATTCTGATTTGCCAGTTTTCAAAAGTCTTCTCTGAAATTAATAAATAGTGGGGGAAATTTCCATTTTTTATGTCAAATTTAAATAAGATATACTGTTTTTTATCATTTTTCACATTGTTTACTGAACCCTGTCATATGTATTTTACATTTGTGTCCAAGGATGCATTCTTCCTATTTAACACTATAAATTTGATTTCGAAGCTGTAATAGATTGAAATAACTACATGTCTTTATAAGGACAATTTTTACTGTTAACATTTTTTTTCAGGGAGGAATGTTTATTCTACAGCTGTTTGACAACTATGCTGCAACATATTCATTACTATTGATTGGTTTAGTTGAATGTATTGGTATCGGTTGGGTATATGGTAAGTGGTAGTATTTATTGGATTAATTAAGTGGGATGGGGGCACAGCGGGATCCTTTTGTTTTGGAGAGATAAATAGATGTGACAATAATCTGATGCATAATCAACAGTGGTTTATTTTTATCTCTGAAAAAAATGAAACATGGGATTAGGGTCAGACACTTATGATTCAATCAGCAACCTTGATATATATTGTATCTTAATTTCACTACCTTATCATACATTAAGAAGCTTGAAATAGTGGCCTATTCCAACATCTCATCCCAACCATTCATAAGATAGTAAGTGGCCCTGAGTTTGGCTGAGGAATTTTATAGGCCAAGGCTGTGTGGTTGTGGTCATTATGCAGAACTCTTATGCATTATCACTTGTTAGAGGGAAGAAACCTGGATGTTCCCAATGTTCTGAGACAAACTTATACAGGGATTTGAACTGGGAACAAACCTGAATATCTTCACAATAGTAAGACTGCTGGAATTTTACTTTCAGACACTTGGACCAACATATAGGTTATATTTGTCAGATCGTTTAGTTTTTGTCTGTCCATCCTTTCTTCAAAAATTGTTTAACTTTGCCTTCACCAGTGTTAACTAATAATCAGGAAATGTTTTACATTCAAATTTCATTCTATGAAAACAAGTTTCTTTTTGAATTTGGTGACCTCAATATTTAGAAATACAGTACTGCATGTGTGAAAGCTTCTGCTAAAACAAGTATGTTGCCAAGTAACTCATATCTTTGTGAACTTATTTGCACAGTATTTTATTTCATAATATTTAGCCCTCTGTTAGATTTTTATGCCCCAGCCGTAGGCAACTGGTGCATTAAGTGTTACCCTTGACTGTCCTTCCGTCCGTTCCATTTTCGTTTCCACACTCTAACTTAAGTTTGCCTCATGCAAATTTCATGGAACTCGTACACAATGCCATACCTGCCAACTTTTCAAAATCTCCATGGGGGATTTTAAGCGCAAGACAATATAATGCTCCTCTTTTATTGTGATAAGTGTTTTTAATCTACTACTATATTGTTTGAATGAGCATGTATGTGCTTAAATACCCTTCCTACTCATTTGAATGCCTGTTTTGAGGTGTTCAGTTTATATAATAAAGAATTTCAAAATTCAGGTCAACACCTCTCATGGGGGATATCCCCCATAAATCGGGATAGTTGGCAGGTCTGCAATGCTAAGAATTAAAACTAGCAGACAGAGTTCGAATTTGGGCTGTGAGTCACTTACTGTTCTAAATTATGCCCCTTTATAACTTGGAGAATTGAAAATTTTATTTTAAGAAACTCTTACAAAATGCTAAGAACTACAACATGCAGACAGAGTTTGAATTTGAATTGTGAGTCATTTACCGTTCTGGAGTTATGCCCATTTTTAACTTGGAAAATTGCAAAGCTTGAGCGGTGGCATTCATGCCCTCGGACACATTCATTTTTTATTTACCGGTAAGATAAAGATATCTTGTATTGCAAAATTCAGGAACTTTACTTTTATATTATTTACTTTGCTAGGGAGCCTTTAAATTCTGTCATAGATGAAGTTGTAGAAAATAGAATTGTTGAGTGTCCTATATTTATTTATAAAAACATCTCCTTTTTGATCATTGAATCACTAATGGTACCAGCTATATTCCTTTTCTACTTTTATTTTTGTACAGGTGCTGATAGGTTTTTGGGAGATATAGAACTAATGTTGGGAAAACGTCCTTCCAATATATGGAAATACAGTTGGAAATTTGTTGCTCCTACAGCTTTATTGGTAAGACTACTTTGCTTTACTAGTAAGACACATACAGCTGAACTTTCCTTTGGTTTTACTTTGAAGACTCAGTAAGATACCTATAGTTTTTGTTTAGCTTAAATAGCAAGATTATATATAGGATTAGCTGTAATTTGAATCATATTGTAAAAAAATTACATTTTCTGGTATAAATTTATACATTTTGAGTGGAAATTTCCATGCTAATAACATCACAAACTAAAATTTTGCATTTTTCACATTGCTAACTTCAAGTCAATCATAGAAACACTAGAGCTACTTAAAAAAGAAATTATCTGTATGCTAATATAAATAAGAAGATGTGGTATGAGTGCCAATGAGACAACTCTCCATCCAAGTCACAATGTCACATAAGTTAACAATTATAGGTCACAGTACAGCCTTCAACACAGAACCTTGGCTCACACCGAATAGCAAGCTATAAAGGGCCCCAAAATGACTAGTGTAAAACAATTCAAACAGGAAAACCAACGGTCTAATCTATATAAAAAACAAGAAACACTTATGAACCACACCAACAATTGACAACCACTGAACAACAGGCTCCTGACTTAGGACAGGTGCATAAAAATGCAGCGGGTTTAAATGTTTTAACAGGTGTCAACCTTCACCCTAACCTGAGACAGTAGTGTAACATAAAAACATTAAAAGACACACTAGTACGTTTTTATTGTTGAGATGATTGTTGTGTTGGGTGTTGTCAGCAAAATTTCAAACTCTTGAATATAATGAAAAAATAGTTGGTAAATTTTGTACAATTATAATAACAATAAATAGAAACAGTATCAAATGTCTTTTGAATTAGATGATTAGAAATTTCAAAATGTGATTGAATTTAGATCATGTTGTTCCTGTCCAAAAACAAATTTAATCACCTCGATGGTCTTGTGGTAGTGTGTACATCTTTATTGTTGGAGATTGTGGGTTTGATCCAGGCCTGTTTCAAACAGACTTGAAAGTTGGTATTTATTGCTTCTCTGTTGAACTGATGGCCTGGAAGTAGAATAATGGTAGGGTGACATGTCTTCCTGCAAACTAGCATGTTACAAATCAGTCTCATTACTAAGCAGGGTTGAAATTCATATCACATTAACATATAGATATAAGAAGATGTGGTATGAGTGCCAATGAGACAACTCTTCATCCAAGTCACAATAGATATAAGAAGATGTGGTATGAGTGCCAATGAGACAACTCTCCATCCAAGTCACAATAGATATAAGAAGATGTGGTATGAGTGCCAATGAGACAACTCTCCATCCAAGTCACAATTTGTAAAAGTAAACCACGATGTTATCATCCCGTAAATTCAGAAATTATTGTGTGCATTTATTATTAACAAACAAAAATGTGAGATAAATTATTGCGATTTCAAGTACTACATAGAAATATATGTATCAGATATCAGAAAAAGAGCTCTTATTTTTGTGATTCGTACCTAATCACATTATATTATTTGCATAAATAAAAAAACTCTGCAATCATTTCTGAATTTACAGTATGCATTTGATTTGGCACGTGATGTTAACAGCCATCCACCATCAAAATCAAAAGTGATACTCTACATGCAACTGTTTTTATTTCAGGCTATATTGATATTTTCCTGGGCTGATTTCAAGTCCTCCAAATATGACAAATATGTCTTCCCATTGTGGGCTGATGGTTTGGGATTCATTATCACCCTATCTTCTATAATGCTGATACCAGCTATAGCCATCTATAAAGTGGTTTGTGCAAAGTGTAAATCAGAATTAGGATTAATGGAGGTAAAGTGAAATAAGTCTTCTGTTAACTTAACAGATGTAAAGTTTAATCAGTTTTCTAATACTCAATAGATGTAAAGTTTAATCAGTTTTCTAATACTCAATAGATGTAAAGTTTAATCAGTTTTCTAATACTCAATAGATGTAAAAGTTTAATCAGTTTTCTAATACTCAATAGATGTAAAGTTTAATCAGTTTACTGTTCCTCAATAGATGTAAAGTTTAATCAGTTTTCTGTTTATTAAATAGAGGTTAAGTTAATTAAGTCTTCTATTAACTTTGTACACTATAGTTATAAGGATATTTTATGTGTCAATATATGTGTCATGATAAGAAATTGATGAGGTTAACTTAAGTTATATAAAGTGATTGTACTTTAGTTTATATTAGCTTGTAAAGATACCAAAATATTGACCTCCAAAGAATTGCTTATTATAAAGAGTTATATAGGAACATGGGAAGTGAAGGATATATATTGATAATTCTTATATCCTTTGGACTTTTATTTGTTTGTGAGTGAATTGGTCGAGTTTATACACCAATAAATTCCTTTAAAAAGGCGTTTAATCCTATAATATCACAGCAACCCAACAACCAGACATCTATCTGAAAACTCATACTCTTCACATTCTTTTTTATACAGGTGATAAAAAACTTGTCAAAACCAACAGATGATTGGGGTCCAGTGTCGAAAGAACACAGAACAGAAAGAAAAATGATTGATGGAACTCCGACTGAACAGTTTGAATCTCAGATACCATTTGTAGGGTCACAGTTCTCCACGGAACAAGACACTAAATTATAAAGAATTGTCTGGAAGTCTGAAGTTTTTTCCTGTTTCAATGTACTATTTAAAAAAAAAAATCTGAAAAGTTATGATTAATGCATATATTGGTAAAGATATGAAGGTTCCATAAGTAGTCACTTAAAAAGTAAACAAAAATTTGAAAGTTGTTAAACCTAAATCTATCTGTTTGTTCAAAATTAACCTGATTTTAAAGAATGCCCACAATATTTTGCAAGCTTTTCAAGAAACAATTTTTGTAGTTTCTGATTCATTGGCATACATTCAGGGTAACGAAAAGAGTGAATTTTTGGAACTTTATGTGACAAAGTTTGTCTAGATATCAAATTGAATAGGAGAGTTGCTTGAAAAAAAAAAATTTAATTTGTTGATTTTTTAGGGAAAGTCTATATCAGACGGTCCTATGTATATATAGCCTTCTGGTGTAAGTTTAAGACTTACTATATTAATGGGTACTTCTTCAAATATTGGCTATAAGATAAGAAGACTTACAATGCTCAATAAATAAGATTACCTCATGTTCAAAGTGCACTCCTGATTACAAAGATAGGTACGAGGGCTAGCCTGATTAACAACATATATTTTTTGGTAGAAATATCTTCTCACAGTATATGTAAAGAGGTTAAATAAGTTCAACAGACGTTTTGATAGTTTGTCTGCAGGTTTGCTCTAGCATTACACCTGTAGACAATGACAAGGGAACATTTCAATCTGTTAATAGAGAATCCTGAGAATTGATTTGACAAATGAAATAAATGTGTCAATTGAAAATGCAATGAAACAATGTTTTTTTGAAGAAGATGCTATTATAGAACAGCTTTAAAAAAATAGATATTGTTTTACATTTTACATGCCATTTCAAATAAGAAAATAAAAAGGAAGATGTACACAAGACGATAATATAACAGGAAGTAAACAATATTTTTATTTTTTCTCTGAAGAAGTGCCATTAATTTATGTTATGATATAACGGGTTGTAATTCAATGATATTATCTGGATAATACATTAGAGGTTGTTTGTTAAATAATGCTCATTTATTTGCATATTTTTATTGAGATTGTGCCAAACTTATATAACAAATAATTCAGTGACATTTGAATGAACTCTTTAGGGTAAATTTATATATATTATAAAGATGAAATGTTTGTGATGCTAACCATATAAATGTTAAGAATTTGTCTCTGAATGTAGATAAATTGGGTTTTGATTTAAATATGATGCAAAAATGAAGAAAAGAAAAGAAAATTTCAGAAAAAAGAGTTTAAATAATGCAATTTTATACAGCTTGCTGATGCCAAATTATAGATAGAAACAATAATACAAGTTTATACGGCTTGCTGATGCCAAATTATAGATAGAAACTTTAAAAATTTCCAGCAGGACCAGATGTACAAATAAGCCAACATGTCCAAAATTGTTATAGGAGTTATTGCCTTTGATAGTTATAAATATGAAAACCCTTTTTGTCTTGCCTCAACAAAGCCAAGACTTTGGCATGCTGCTTCTGGCGGCAGCATCAACAACTTGTCAAAGTTTGTGATTAGGTCAGTTCAAGTATGGTATGCAGTTGTATAAAGGTTGACACATCTCATTTCCATGGAGATTATTTTGCCCTACCCCCCTCAGTAATGGTGTATTGCTCTGAAAACATTTGCAAAGTTCACATGTTATAGTTTGTGACTTTGTCAATTGAAGATGAACCACTAATGGTTAGTCAGTGATATTTGGTATGTAGTTTTACTAGCAGTTGCACATTTTATTTCCATGGAGAATATTTTGCCCTTTTCCCTCAGTCATGGTCTATTAACTTTGAAAACTTTTGCATAGTTTACATGTTAAAGTTTGTCAATTTAAGATGAACCACTAATGGTTAAACAATGATATTTGGTATGCAGTTGTATTAAAATGGCACAAATTTTTTCGATGAAGATTTTGTGGTCAGATCCCCTCAATCATGATCTTATGACTTTGAAACTTATGCATAGTTTACATGTTAAAGTTTGTAAATAAATTAGTTAAAGGAGAACCATGTATGATAAGTCTATGATATTTTGTAAGCTGTGGTGTAATGATTAGCATATTTCATTTTGCAGAGGTCATTTGGCCCTGCACTTTCAGTCATGTTTTATGACTTCGAATGATTTGAAAGGTGTAAATGTTAAAGTATTACAATCTCAATTATAACAATTGCATTGTACTGTCAAAATTACATACAGGTGAGACATATCTCTGTGTCAACAGATTATTTCATTTTTGGCTTAAAGTGTAGTAGATAAAGAAAAATATACCACAAAAATTATCAGCAAGAACAGGCTATAAATAGATCATGTAGCAAAAATTGTCAGTCAACTCCTTAACTGTAGGTGTTATTGCCCAAAAATGACAAGATAGAGAGAATCTTTGAAAACCAAAAATGATCATCAAGACGAGACTTAGAAATAGGTCAACTTAGTCTAAATTGTCCGTCCATTTCTCTTAAGAGTCATTGCCTTTAAATAGTGATTTTTTTTTACCAGGAAATTTTTTTTTTTTTATATTAAGATCAACAAACAATTGATTTAAGTTATGAACATTAATCTAGTCTCTAATATTGAAAAGTGGCCATTCTTGTACATTTATTCAGGTGAGCGACACAGGCTCTTTATAGCCTCTAATTTTATTTATCCTCAGATTTATAATTGAATACTTTTAAGATGAATCTCTAAATATAAAGATGTTTAGTTCAGAATCTCAATAGTTGTTTCTATGACTTCAATGAATAATATTATTTTGTTTCTCTGAAATTAATGAATAAAAATTTTTTATTTTACAATTTAAAACATGATTGAATTATGTTATATTATTTGATATACTCTTTCTGTAAAATGTTGTTTTTTGAAATCTCATAATTGATCTTTTTTATGCGTCCCCCCTAGCGGAGGGGCATTAAGTTTTACCCTTGTCCGTCTTTACGTCCGTCCAATCCATCCGTACGCCCCAAAGTTGGTTTCCGTTCTCTAACTTTTGTTTGCCTCAACCAAATGTTATGAAACTTATATACAATGCTTATTACCACAAAACACAGATCGAGTTTGAATTTTGGTGGCGTCACTATAACCGTTCTAGAGTTATGCCCCTTTACAAATGGAAAAATTGCTGAATTTTTCCTTTCTGTTTTCTAACTTTAGTTTGCTTCAAACAAATGTTATGTAACGTATACACAATGCTTATTGCCTCATAATACAGAGCAAGTTCGAAATTGGCGTCACTTTTACAGTTCTTGAGTTATGCCCCTTTATAAACAAAAACTGCTGAATTTTTCGTTTCCGTTCTCTAACTTTAGTTTGCCTCAACCAAATGTTATGAAACTTATACACAATGCTTATAACCACATAATACAGGTCAAGTATGAAATTGGGTGGCATCACTTGTACCTTTCTTGAGTTATGCCCCTTTATAAACATAAAAATTGCTGAATTTTTCGTTTCTGTTCTCTTACTTAAGTTAGCCTCAACCAAATGTTATGAGACTTATACACTATACTTATTACCACAAAACTCAGATCAAGTACAAATTTGGGTAGCGTCACTTTTACTGTTCTTCAGTTGTGTCCCTTTATAACTTCATATGATATGCAAGCGGGGGCATCATCGGTGTCCCATGGACACATTTCCCATTTATTTTATTTATATGTTTATGTTATTGTTTATTATTTTATAACACACTGTATTTTGTTTTGTTTGGTGAAGTCGTTTATGTTTTGAATTTACAAACTCTGAGTACAATTGCATAAAAGATAGTAAAATTAGTCAGTAAAAATTATCTTGAATTAGTTGAAGTTTCTCAAGTGCTTTGTGCTTTTTTTTGTCATTTTGTAATTGACAAGATTGCTATCGTAAATAAAATTTAAAAAACTTAAGGTAATGTATCAATTTAAGTTATTTCATTTTTGACCCAGCCATGCTGTATCTATTTGATCACTCCATGTTTTGAGGTGGTGCAGAACTCAAAGTTGAAGACATATCATGAAAAGTAATTATGTGTTTTTATGACTTGCAGAAACACTATACACCATTTTAATCATCAACTGCCAGCTTTTGACATCTTATTTGCACTTATATTAAGAAAAGATTGGTCGAACAGCTACTTTATTTTAAATATACACTTGCATATAGTTCCTTTGTAAATCAAAATTTATATTAACTTTCTATTTATGAATTAATGTGAAAAGGTAATATATCAAATTTAAGCAGTTGGTAAGAATTAAGAAAGTGTTAAAAGTATCTTGTGTTTGTGTAAGTTGTTGAATAAAATTTGGTACAAGCTGTGTATTGATATCAAAGTTGATTCCCATACTTTTTTGAAATTCTATTCCATTTTTTCCTTGGGCAAGTTAGAGTACTGATACAATACTATGTGATAGACAACTGTCATTATTTACAAACAATTTCACTCAAAAGTGGGAGTATTAGTTCGAATCATCTCCACTATAATGTCAATCTTAATTGACCACAGTATTACATAATTAAATGGACATTTTACAGCTCAATATATATCTTCATACACAATTATTGACCTCAATAGTGTACCTATAATCGCCTTTGATCATCACTACATAGAATTATTCTGTAATTATGTGTCAAAGATAATTGGTTTAGGATTAAAAAGATGCATTTTTTGAAAAGAAAAGACAAAAACAATATATATAAAAATGTAAAAGTAGTGTATATTTTACTTGTAAAACCAGTGTTATTACTGATATAATCATCTGATATTAGTCAATAATTTAGGTTAAAGGAGAAAAGATCCTTTCTCAAACTTTGCTTTGCCAACAAAGGTCTCGATGCCATCAACTTGAACAATATCCTTCATCATAAATCAGTTCACTTGAAAATACCTCCCTACTTCAAATATCAGTCTGTACCTATCATCTCTTTTACTGTACCTAACTAATTGCAATTATAAATATTAATTACAAACAGGATCTCAGTATTTGATGACTTCAAGTCTAAACCTCCCGATCCCACCTGTGCATAAATTAAATAATTAATAAAATTAAACAACGTTATATTGCTGGGTCTTCCACATGCTCCATGAAACCTCTTTCTGAATTATTAACATCAATTTCATCAGCAATCAAAGCTGGGCTTCAGGTTTAATCCACCATTGTCTACATAGGAAATGCCTGAACCAAGTCAGGAATATGACCGTTTTTTCTAATCGTTTGATGTGTTTAAGCTTTTGATTTTGCCATTTGATAAAGGACTCTTTCCCTTTTAAATTTGCCTTGGAGGTTTTACTTTTTTCAAAGTAATTGTGAAACTACCTACTCTAAGGGCGGCGTGAATCAGATGTGGATGCTTACATTTCAAAAGATTTGTACATACAATCTAAGTCTCTTCTTGCAGTATTATTAAAACGTTTGTCTTTTCTACCCTTACACAATTATTCCCCATTCCAAACTAAAAGACAAATCGAAAGAATTGGCCCTGCTTTGTTTCATAAAAAAGAATGGCCAACGTAGATTCAAGAATCTTGTCTTAGAAAGGATAAATCTTACCTTTTCTTGTCGACTTGTTCCTTTATTCACATTGGGCCGACTTCATACAGGAGCTTCCTTGGAAGAATGATGAGAAGCTAGCATTATCCTTTAACTTCACGTCCCTCTATATAGATGATGTCCTCTCACTAAATAAGTTTGGTGACTGTATCATATCGAAATTGAAATAAAGGTTACACCAGATGCAGTTAAAATGCCTCATATCTTGACTTAAATCTAGAAATTGACAATGAGGGTCGGTTGAGAACAAAACTTTACGACAAAAGAGATGATTTAATCTTCCAAAATTGTGAACTTTCCATTTCTATGTATCAACATTCCAGCAGCTCCTACATTTGGAGTATATATCTTCCAGTTGATACGATATTGCAGAGCTTGCATTTCATAATATGATTTCCTTGATATAGGGTTGCTGCTTACCAGGGAGCTATTGAACCTAGTGTTCCAAGTGGTGAAATTGAAATCATTCATTCGAAAATTTACGGAAGACATTACGAGTTGGTTGGCCGTTATGGCATATTTGTTTCACAGATGACGACGGATATGTTTTAATTCTTGTATCCACAATCCCGCCATTTTCTCGAATATGACCGATTTAGACTTATCACCGGGTTGTACTTTCATGTTGAGCAGGATCTGCTTGCCTTTCCGGAGCACATGAGATCTCCCCGGTTTATTGATGGGGTTCGTGTTGTTCAGTCTTTGATTTTCTATGTTGTAAATTCACATTTGTCTAATGTAAAAACTTCTCGAGGAAAAAAGCATCGAAAACCATATCTACTAAATAATAATAAAATGCATGCTTAATCACCAAGTTTACATAACATAAGTCACCAAATGGATGACTTTCTTTTGAACACGAGAAGTGATGAAACAATTTCTGTCAATTCCTATGATGACAATGAGCATTCTGATTTTTTAGGTGTTCATTCTCCACCGAAAGTAAGGCTGAAAAATTTTCAACCGAAACATGGCACTACGAACATGACGAAAACTACACAACGTCTGAGCTCCCCGTCTTGCCAACAAAGACAGCCGGTTTCCAACCAGCAACACCAAAATCGTCCGAACCTCAATTATATCCAACCAAACACCAGATATCATCTGGAGAAGGCCTAGGAGAAACATATTTGGCAGATCCAAAATCAATAGTCTCATCTATAGACAACATTACTTTGACAGATTCGACTCCGTCTCAAGTACTTAATTTCTTCTTTAAATTTATTAAAGTTTTTAGAGATTTTACACAGGAAAATAACCTTTAATACCACCGTCTTGTGGAAAGACTTTTACCTTTTATCATTACAATGGGAGGGAAACCTCCCAGATTGATTATGTTTTAGAAAGCAGAAGTGTCATTAACAATTATTTGACTTTTATACGTGAGTCTATAAACACTTCTACTCATGATCCAATAAGATTGATAAAACTGCTTATCAGGAGGAGATTGAAAAGAAACTGTCACTTTGGACTGATGAAATAAAACTCAATCTGACATTTGAAAATTTACCGGATAAGATTAATGAATTATGTTCAATATTGGAAACATCAGCTTCTAAATGCAGCCGTTCTAAACGTTCAAAATGTAGCAAAATGTTAAAGAAAAAGCCCTGGACTCCAGATTTGGAAAATATAGCTAAGATAAATAGAGATCATTTTGCAAAATGGAAAGCCTTCCGCTGGTCGACCAACCGATAAGAATAGGAATTTATTTCAAAATATTAAATATTATAAACAGAAACTTAGATCAATGCAAAGACAACTTGAAGCAAGCTTAAAAATTCATAAATATCAGAATATTATGGAACTTCATGAGGGAAATGAGACCGCTTTTTATTCTTTAATAAGAAAACAAAGAGATCCAGCAAATACTACAACTTCTGCGCTTACTTTTAATGACATTTCTTTAAACAACGAGAATTTGATCCGTGATGCATGGGCGGAATACTTTCAAGACTTGGCGACTCCTATGGACTTTAATTTGGTGGAAAATGATATAAACCATTTAACGAAAACATTTATTGAAAATAAAATAGAAAATATTTCACCTGTAACAGAAGATGAAATAAAAGGTATTTTAGCATCTAGTATGAAAAATAATAAATCTGCTGATGAAGAAAATATAACAGTTGAACACTTGAAATATGGTGGTCCTATTATGATAACTATATTGATTTTTTTCGTAAATTCTATTTTTAAATATTAACATATTCCAAATTTATTGAAAGGTGGCATCGCTTGTCCTGTTTTAAAATGGAAAACCGAAACTTGACCCAAACTCATATCGGAAAATTACTATCACAAGTACAGTAGGAAAAGTAGTCGAGAAAACTCATTTATCCCGAAATAAAAACTCTGTAACTAAAAGTCAAAATAAACTACAAAAAGGATTTACTCCTGGAGAAATGCCTATTATTGCTGCTTTAAATTTAACTGCACTTATAATCGAAGCAATAAAGACGAAATCACCACAATATGTGGCTCTTATGGATGCAAGGAAAGCCTTTGACATTGTTTGGCATCTCTTCTTAATGAGAGAAATACATAAGTTTGGTCTAAATGGGGACAACTGGTTATTTTTAAAAAAAATGGTATGAAAATCTCAAATCAAAAATTAAATGGAAAGGGTTGCTTTCAAAATCAATAGAGGAACGACAAGGTGTACGACAAGGCGGTATTTGGCCACCGACAGCATACAAGGTTTTTTATAAATTCACGTTTACAAACTTTTGAAAGAAATCAATTAGGAGCATGTATAGGACCCATTTATTGTGGTATCCCAACTGTATGAATGAATGGTGTATTAAAGTGCAACCTGCATATATACAATAGATACATATTAGTACAACATTACATTACAGCCAGCCAGATAGGCTTACAATGCACTGACAAATTAAAACTCAAATTTTTGAAAACATAGATAACAAATAGTTTTGGACGAATGTCTAAGTTATAAGAAAATTCAACAGTTAAAGTAAAATAGTGTAGCGGACGATGTTGCGCTAATTTCAACAGATCCTTATGAATTACAAACTATGCTGAATGTACAGACAGATCATGCCAACAAACTACGTTATTTACTTAGTGAGCAAAATTTAACAATTTTGGTGTATAATGACAAATTGTCAAAGTCTTGGACATTAAAGGGTAAACCTGTATCACTTTATGAATCGGCAGTTCATCTGGGAATAGATAGAAATATTATTACAAATACCGGGGTGAAAGAAGTTGTGAGTAAGCGTATTATTACTGCGATAAAAACCGTATACTCTCTCATGGGTGATGGTTTGCATGGTTTGAATGGAGTCAATCCAAAAGTTTCTGTTGACTTGATACAAATATACGTTATACCTAGACTT